TTCCATCACATTCATATACCACAACTTGTTCAGCCATTCCCCAACTGATAGGCATTCCCTCCATTTCCAATTCTTTGCCATCACAAAAAGAGCTGCTCTATTTTTGCACATGTGGGTCCTTTTCCCATTTTTATGATCTCTTTGGGATACAGCCCTAGAAGTGCTATTGCTGGGTCAAACGGTATGCAAAGTTTGATTGCCTTTTGGGCATAGTTCCAAATTGTTCTCCAGAATGGTTGGATCAGTTCAAAATTCCACCAACAATGTATTAGTGTCTCAATTTTCCCACCACAATTTCTCCAACATTTATCATTTAAGGAGCTCATATTTTAATGGGGAAGAAAAAACATGGAAGGTTTAGGCTTCAAGTCAGATGGAAAAGTACCATGGTCCTTAGGGTGCAGTGGCACCCTAAGATATTCATACCAAGATGTTAATACCTCTTCTTTAATGTTATTTCAACTGAGAAAATCCTATCAGTTTCTGAGGTAGGGCCAAGGACTTTGGTGGCAAGAACTTTCGTTTCTGGGTCTTCTGTAGCCCCTGCATGAGCAGTTAGTTGCCAGACTGTGTTTCTGCAGGGGCCACCTCCCAGGATGACAGCTGAGGACACTGCTGGAAGCATCAGTATTCCCAAGGCTCTTGGGTTCAGTATCTTAGATTGTACAAATCAGGGTCTGAGGAGAAAGGGTGATCAAGGTAGTGGTTTGACTTCCTTGTCATGTGCTGCTTCAGCTAGGCTGACTTGCTTGCTCTGTGTGGTGAAATCAGAGGTATGGCTGCCTCCTTTTCTATGGGAATTGCTTCCCCAAGTGATGGCTGAGAGGACTGAGCTGGAAAAAAAGCTTTATATGCCACAGAGAGCACTTTATATTTGTTTCTGGGGGGCAGGGAAGGGAAGAGCCATTACAATGTGATTAGGAGGGGTCTCATGGTCAGCTTTAAGAAAGTTAGTAGCTGAGTGAAGGAAGGATTGGAGTAAGGAGAGATCTGAAGGAACTATAATAATTTCATAGAGAAATTTAACTGATACAAATCAGTTGCCATATAACATGGAAACTAAGAACCTAAAAAGTGCCTGAGTCAGAGAAAACTTATTTGCCAAGTGGCAACACTAGTTCAGAATACAAAGTTGTTTGCAAAATCTCATGAATAATGAAAGATTTTTTTTAAAAGATTGATGGAAGACTATGAGAAGCACTGTTTCATAAAACAGAGAGAAGCAGTATAGGGTAAATCTAGTTTAAAGAAAGCTTGATAAGAGATCTAATTTTATTAAGGCATCTTGAGAATACTTAAAAATGAAAATGGAAGAATAACAAATAGAAGAAAAATGGAAAATACCTGCAAATATTTTTACAACAAACATTTTCACCATCAAGGGCAGTGTATCCACCACATTTGGATTCTAACATCACAATCCCAGAAGTGATAATACAGAACAATGGGAAAATACCCAGACTGGAACAAGTGAAAATAGAGATCTGCTTTGTAGGAAATGACAGCTGTGAGGGCGCCAAAGAATTGATACACAAGGTATCTGAAGGAGAGTTCAAAGAAAAAGGTATGGAAAAATCTCAGACTTTAGGTCTTTATTAATGCTGAATAAAGGTTACTGAGAAAATATTAACAGCTATTGACCTACATGCCTGTTTTACCCCTCTATAAAAATGTTAATGAAAATCACAGGAAGGGTATTCTTGATGAGGGTATTGGTAGGAAACAGGCAGGCTTTTATAAGAAGCATTCTATAGTAAACCACATCTTTACTAACAGTTGATTTAAAGATAGAACAAGAGCCCACTTAGTTTACTGTTTATTTTTTTTTGCTTTGGCAGTTGGGGTTAAGTGACTTGCCCAGGGTCACACAGCTAGTAAGTGTCAAGTGGTCAAGTGTTTGGTCTGAGGCCAGATTTGAACTCAGGTCCTCCTGACTTCAGGGCCGGTGCTCTGTCCACTGCGCCACCTAGCTGCCCCCTACTGTTTATTTTTTAAAAAGCATTTAATTCACTAAAGCAAAACACAACCTTAAAAGCTCTTATCTAACACCTCCCATTCATACATCAAAATCATTCAAGATTCCTTAAAAGATATATTACCTTGTTTAAAGATCCTCTGATCACAAATATCAGGCAAAGCATAAGACAAGGAAAGGTATATTCACCAACGGTGCTTTCCATGATCATGGAGGAGATTCAGTGCAAAGGGCAAATTTTAAGAGGGATTCTCTATGCATGGCAGGGCAGAGGTTCCCAAAGTGGGCAATACTGCCCCCTCAGCGGTCCTGAAATGATCCTGGGGAGGCGATAGTAACCTCACGTGCAAGTAGTGGGTGCTGAATAAAAATAAGGGGGTGGTGGAAGCATAAAGAGAAGAAAATTTTGAAAAACCATTTGTCCATGTTTCATTTGGTGTAAACACACAAATGCAAATTATAACTGAGTCAAGTCTGCTGACAGGTCTTAACAAGCAAGTGTTGTTGGCAGGCAAGCATGCTGTGCATTGTCAGGAAGTCCGGCATGCATCAATAGGAATATGTGCTTGTAATGACTTGTTTACAATATGATACTATACAGTTATATGACACAATATTGTGTCATCAAAATTTCAATGCAGAGAAAAACCCTACAAATTTATAATAAATTTTTAAATTTAAGATGTCACTTTTAAAATATATACGTATGTATATATCTGAAATAACACAAATTTAAAAAAAACACCATTAAAGGGTTAAAGAAAGTAGATTATGAGGGAGGCACTAATTGGGTTTTTTTTGGTTTTTTTTTTGGCTAGGCAATTGGGGTTAAGTGACTTGCCCAGAGTCAAACAGCTAGTGAGTGTTGTGTCTGAGGTCACATTTGAACTCAGGTCCTCCTGACTCCAGGGCTGGTGTTCTAGTCACTGTGCCACTCAGCTGCCCCAAGTAATTTTTTTTAAAGGGGATAGTAGGCCAAATAAGTTTGGGAACCTCCAATGGCAGGGCCTTCCAAATGTTCCTGTTGTATATGATACTGTGTGCTGGTTCCATCAAGTGCCATAACATTGCAAAGCCCCGAAGAACTCCATGACCACTCAAAAAGAATTTGGCTTAGTCATTCACATAAGAAAAAAACTAAGTGGATGAAAAATGTCAAGTTGTCCAGAATATGGCATGCAGTCATACTATAACTACATAATATGACAATCTATAGAGCCTGTTCATCAGCATATATGTTTGGCAGGCAATCCAAATGGACAAGTTGGAAAGAATTCAACAGGTTGAGGAAAGCAGCTAAACTGTCTTTAGGAAATGACAAAGCTCTTTTAATGATTTCCAACCTCTCCCAGAAACAAAGACCCATTTTAAAAATATCAATATTCTAACAAATTGTTGTATGACAGGGATAGAATACTAGTCTCCAAAGAATTAAATGAGTATCATAAAGATATCGTATCATGTTAGGTGCAAGTATACTGCAACATAAAACAAAACAAAGAACTACGAAGAACTGGATTAAAAGAGGTCATCATGTATCTGCAAAATATGGTCTGGTCAGAGGCTAGAATAAGAAATAGTCTATGTGCTCATCTACCATCCTAGCAGTGTCAGAAGAAAGCAAAAAAATGCCTCCAGAACCTTGGGTAGACTCCTTGTGAAAAACTTTAAGGGAATGCAGGCAACAGTCACACAAGACAGGCAGGTACAGAAGGTTCGAATCCACATCATTGAGATCAGACTTATTTGAGGGACTATACACATGATTTTGGGAAGGAGAAGGCACTGGCTGTTGGGGAAACAGGGGAAAGCTTCTTGTTTGAGGTATACCTTGAGATAAGCCTTGACAGGAGCCAGGGGTTCCAAGAGGCAGAGGCAAGGAAGAAAACTTCAAGCTAACCTATGCAAAGAATGAGGATGGGAGATAGAATGCTGGGGACAGGGAAGAGCAAGTTTGCTATGTGGATTCAGCCTAGAATGATAGGGTGGAAGCAGACTGTGAAAGACTTTAAATGTCAAATAATATCTTATCGTAGAGGTATTAGAAAATCAATGAATGTTCTGAGTAGAGGAGTGTCATGATCAGACCTTTATTTTAGGGATATTAATCTGTTATCTTTAAGGATTGGAGAGAGGAGAGGTTCAAGGCAAGGAGACAAATTAGGAGGCTATCACACACAACCTGGGGGGACAGGAGGGATGTGAGAGATATTTATGGGTAGACAGGCAGTACCACATCAATTTCTCCTGACTAGGGGTTGGGAATAAGAGCAAGGATGAGGTCAAAAGGGCACATATGGTCAGGTATATGTAAAAATTATGATGATAAAATAAATATGTATTATATACAGCAGTAATTTTGCACAATAGTTCATGTTCTCCTATGATTGTTTTCTGAGAAGGAAATTCCTCAAATAGTGCTCTTAAATTCTTAGGCAGCACTAGCCAGGCAAATCTGAGGTCAGTTATTTCCATTAGCAAATTTGCAGAGACTTATCTGAGCCACATCACATTCTCAACATCTTCCTGCAATTTCAGAGCAAGACTTCTAAATTTGGAGACAAGAAAGACCTGGGTTTGAATCCTGTTACTTGCTAGCTATGATTAAGGGCAAATCACTTATCCCTAAAATGGAGAATAACAGCCACCTTCAGAAAACTGTGAGGGTCAAGGGGGAATGTAAAGCACTCTGCAAACATTGAGACTCAATGTAAATGTATAATTGATATCATATTGCTTGTCTTCTCAATGGGTGGGGGAGGGGCTGGAGGGAAGGAGAGAATTTGGAATTCAAAATTTTTAAAAAATCAATGCCAAAACAAACAAATTGATGAATTGAAACATTTCTGAAAAAGAAAAAAAGGATTTAAGCTAAAAAACTATGTAAATGTGAGCTATCATTATTATATTTCCTAGGGACCCTCTATTTTCTCAGGACACAGAAATGAGATGATAGGTTTCCTGTAGTTCAAATAGTTCTTGTTTTGTTTAGTTTCCACCCCCCCCCAAAAAAATGGACCACACATAAGGTTTTCAAGTATCTTTTTGCAGCAGATTATCTTATTTACATTGATACAGAATCACTTTACATGTTTTAAATTAGACATTAATAGTGGCTTTATTTTAAGCAAATTAAAAATGAAATAAAGTGGAACCATTCAGAAACATTCTTCATTAACCTGCCTGACTTTTAACATAAGTATTTCTTTTAATACTCAGAAGCCATAATATTCAAATAAAGCTGTGGCTACTTTGTTAACAGTACACTTTGCTATAGGGTAACTTGAAAACTTGAAACTGGTTAGATTACTATTTTTTAAAAACCAAACACTTGTACATGAAGAGACAATGATTTTTAAGAGTCAAATAATTTAAAGATACTTTTCTGATGATGCCAACAATGTAAAGACAGTAATCCAAGAACCATGGTTGGCAAGAGCGCAGTTTGAATGGAACAGCTGAACTCTATCCACTTGGGGACATGGGATATAATATGACTTGATACAAGGGCATTATGGTAGGCTTGAAGTCTGGCTTTAAATGACAAAACTGAAGTGGGAGGGATGACAGGTTACCTTTGTAAGGACAACTCTATAATGATCATTATGTCCTATAGTCAATACATTTAACCACCACCCCCAACCCTCCATTAATCTTCTTAGATCATTAGATGCCTTTACCACAACCAAAGTGCTTACTTTACAAGATGCACTGTACTCCCAGGATTTTGAAAACAATGACACACAGAAGTGGTTGTGATGAAGGAAGAAATTAAATAGCTCTTGACATAACCTTTTAGAAGGAAAAGGACACTGTCAAGGCATGGTGAGCACAGGCTCCTAGAGAAGAAAGCCTATAGGGATGGATTCACTTGGGCAATTCCTCAGTGAAAAGTTAATTAGTTTACAGCCATATGGAGCTTAAGGCTTCATTTTAAGCCGTGGGCAGAGGTTTTGTGTTTTATTTCCTTTTTCTTTTTAAGTTTCATAGGTACAATTCCCACCACATCCAACTCCAAATTACAATTTTGGCTCCATAAGTAGTATGTAATTGTTCTACTATGTGCAGAGTCAGAAGGATTTGGGTTACGTTCCCATGGACAGGAAATCCGTATCATCTGTTAAGATATCAGGGTCTATCTTAGAGTTAAGGCATATCTTACTGATAAGTCCATCCACTGGTAACCCTATTCTAATGGGAAATTTGTCACATGATTTTACTGTTGCTGAAGTATGTCAGAGAGCCTCTGCATGCAGCTGCTGTGCTATTGATCTGCAGTCCTTACATTTTCCAATCGAACAGACAGTGTTCCTGCAACTTCCTCTCTCTAGTTTCCAGTGGACCGTTTGCCTGCATGGAAGAAGAAAATGAATAATAACATTTCACTTGGCTTAATTTCAAAATGACAATAGGAAATTCCTCTGTGGGTAAAATTTACTAAACACTTGCCAGCTGACATACAGGATCATTTATCCAAATGGGATATACAAAAGATCCAAAACAGGTGTGGGGATTGGGTGAGACACAATAACCATGGGTAAGCCTCCAATGGATCTGCAAAACCCCTGGATTCCTAACAGTTCTCTGGATTAGTGAGCTAAAGATAGTCAAAGGGTTAGAATTCTTGAGTTCTAAGCCAAGTTCTGCCATTGATTCACTTTGTGACCCTGGGCAATCCAGTTTCCCTAACTGCAGAATGGAGAGAGTGCCTGTTGTGAAGAACTGAATAACAGGAATAGGGCTGGTTTGAAAATCATTTACCAAAAATTGTTAGTGAAGTGTGATGTGATCACAAAGCTGACTGCTGACATATTATAATCACAAAGGGATCACTCAGCAGTGTATTACTGGTTTTCGCTATTGCTATCAGGACAACAGTGCAAGTGCAATTACAAGTGCCTAACAGGCCTGAGGCTAAAAGTTAAAGTGAGAGAAAACAACAACTATTTAAAGGAAGAAGGGGAAGGAAAGAAATACCTCAAGAATTTTCCTACCTCGCCTGGGATATCAGGATATAAACATTTTCTTAAGTTTGGAAAGGAATCCCTCCTTGCTCTCCCCAGCCTCAGGCCTAGCTCTGCCTCTGGCAGAGCTATCCATGGTGCTGCCACCTGGATACAAACAGCAAAAAAAGCTGTGGTAAAGGGCACATACAATATGTTGTACCACATACCACAGACAGACCGTGAGAAAGAACAGTATTAGCCTGGGAAATCAAGTTGGTAGGGTTATCTCAAGTACCATCCCAAGAAGAAAGAAACAGTTCATTCTTGGGAGAGCAAAGGACAAAAGGGCTAATGTTAGAAAGGATTAATCTAAATACACCCTAGATAAAACTTTTATGCACTGGAATCTGTTTTTTATAGATACAGGCAGTCTGGCAGGATGAGGAGATGAAAAAAATGGTGAATGAAAATGCCAGGTTGTCTTTGACAGTGAAAGACATTAACCCAAGACAAGAATGGCTTTGTTATGAAGTACTTCAATTTACCACAGAATCAACTATATTGTACATATTTAGTGCCTTGGGTGCAAAGACAACTCACTTATATACCACTGTCCTCCCCTAAAATCTTTCTCCAATAACTCACCTCAGTGTGTAGAATGCACCAAGATCAAGTCTAGACAGCACAAGCTGATAGGTTCTACTAAGCTGAAAAGGCGTTGGGCAACACATCCTGTGATGAACTGGACATCCATAATCTGAAGAATGTCCAGGCTAAACTCAGAATTTCATCATATTGGCTACAAGGGGACAAATTTTTTGGACCTAACAACTTTTAAAAGCTATCTATTAAGTCATGGAGGAGTTGCATCAATAGGAGTGCCAACACCGATAAAATCACACTTACCTGTAGCACTGTGTAATATATAGCTTTGAGGTTGAACCTCTCATTTTCTGGGTGGTAATTCCCTCCCCAACTCCACCCCACCCCAACCCCTGCTCCACCTAGGCCCTATCTTTGTCTCTTTTTGGTGATCTCATAAACTCCCATGGGTTCAATTACTATTGCAATAAAGATGACTACCAAATCTAGCGATATACAGCCCTAATCTCTCTCCTGACCTCCAGTTTCACAGCATTAACAGTCTCTTGGGTATCTCAAACTCAACATGTCTAAAAAAAGAACTCATTATCTTCCTTTCTCCAACACTCTTCCCAACCTCAAGGGTGTGACCATCCTCCCAGACACCTAGGCTTGCAATCTGAGTGTCATCCTTGACTCCTAAGTTACACTCACCACAATTATCTGATTTGTCGCCATGTCTCTTATATGTACCCTTTACTTCTCTATCACAGCCACCATCCTAGCGCAGGCTCTCAGTGCCTCACTCCTGGAGTACTGCAATAGCCTTCTGGCTGGTGTCCCTGCCAGAATTCAGAGCATCCAGTCTAGATCCTCAGGTCAGATCAGATCATCCTCCTATTCAATAAATTCCAGTAGCTCACTATTATCTCTAAGATCAAATATAAAATTCTCTTTTGGGCTTTATTTTCCTACTTTTTCAATCTTCATACACTCGACTCTCCTTCCATACACTCTATAATCCAGCTACACTGGCAGACTTGCATCTTTCATTATGTGCCTTTCCACTGTCTGTCTCCCATGTCTGGGATGTTCTCCCTCTTCATCTTGGCCTCCTCACTTCCTTCAAGACTCAGCTCAAATTTGACCTTCTGAAGGATATCTTTCCCACCTGCTCCCTATCTCATACCCTTCCTCTCAGATGACCTACCATTTACACTATATATATATATCTTGTATGTACAATTTTTGCATGTTGTCTCCCCCATTAGAATATGTGCTGTGAGGACCACGTTTTTGCTTTTCTTTGTATTCTCAGTACTTAGTACAGTGTCTGGCACATAGCAAGCATATAATAAATACTTTCTGACTGGGCAACCACCATATAGAAAGTTGATCTGACACCAAGTAAAAAAATTAATATGCCAGAGATAACTTCTTCCAAGCACAGAGAGATTTGTCTTCTAACATGTGAACAAAATATTTCATGCTATGAAGGTGGAGACACACAAGACTGCAATATGACTGCTCTTTCTCATAACCTCCTTGTATCCTATGGCCATGTAGTACAACATGGAGTCAAAAGTGACTGGCCAAGTCATGATCTCCCCATATCTCTTTCCTCGGGCTCCAGAACAGGAATAAAAACTCTATAGCAAATGAAACATGCTTTTTAATTTTTTATTTAAGTACCTAGTATGTGCCATGTACTATGCAAGTTACAAGGGTTACAAAACAAAAATACAACAGTCCCTGCCCTCAAGCAGCTTTTATTTACTGAAGGAGACAATATTTGCATACATATGTATATGTAAGTACACCTGTAAAACAAATACAAGAATCAGAATATGCTTAATTCAAAAGGTGGCACTTGACCAGATTTCAAAGGACAAAAGGGATTCTAAATGGTAGAAATGAGGATGAAGTGCAACCCCAACCAATGTACAGACACAATGCAAAGGCACGGAGATGGGAAATGGCATGTGGGACGTGAGGAAAAGCAAGGCCAGTGTAACTAAAACACAAAGAGTTTGGAAAGAGGAGTAAAATATAATAAAAGTTGGAAAGTTACAGGAGGGCCAAGTTGTGAAGGGTTCTAAAAATTAAACTGAGAAGCCTTTAATATTATTCTCTAGGCAAGTGGGAAGACAGTGGATTTTGTTGAGTATTAAGAGTCATGTGCTTACATCAGCAAGTTAGGAAAAACAAAGTATTACTTTGAGGGTCAAATGAGATGATATATAAGTTGCCTTGTAAATTAAAGTGGTAGGGACAGTGTGGAAGAGGAGGAAAGAACTATGGATTTGTAATTAGATGATCCAGGTTCAGATTATGGTTATCTCACCTCCTTTGACCTAACAGACCCAAAAAAATGTGAAAGGAATTGCCCCAAGTAGTCCATAGCACAGCTGGGACTCAAACCCAGGTTTTCTGATTCACAGTTCACTGTTGCTCTTAAACCATTTTTTTTTTAAAACTAGGTCAGGAATTGAGAGAAATGGGACAAAGGAATGTAAATCTGTGGGAAATTATTTGTGGCTTAGGATTTTTTATATGTATAATTTACTAAATATCATCTGATACCCTTTCAATGCATTGTGTTCGAGGTTGGCCAATAAATAATTTTTCTTCAAGGAGGCTTAAAAGTAGAAAGCACAATTTGGTTTTATAAAGTGATTTGAATCCACAAATACAGAAAAGCATTTTACTTTTTGTATATGCTTTGTAAACATTTTGACTTTTACTATTAATAGGTAAATTAAAATATATTACTTTAAGATCTGTGATTTTATCTGTGTGAGTACTACCTCCACCAATGAAGACTAAAACCCCTCCAATTCTCAGCATTTCAACACTACAAAGGGATCTGGCCAACCTTCTGATGATCAGTATCTCTATAAACATCAGTCTCTAAGCTTCTCCAACTGAGTAGAACCTGCCTGAGGCCGCACTCAAGGGGAACAGCCTTAAAAAACCTAGGATGGGAGATTTGGACTTCTAGCTAAGGTAGCTGCCTGAATCCCTAGCTCCCACATACCTACTGCAGCAAAATCCTTAAGTTCTACCAAGTAATGATTAAGAAATCCAACGAAAAAACCACAGTAAGTGTGCCCTTCTATAACCACTCCAACAGTGACTATTTTGATCTTTTGTAATCTTTGCCAAATTGCTGGATATGAGGTGAAATTGTTTTGATTTGTATTTCTCTTATTACTAGTAATCTGGAGTGTTCATTCATATGGTTAATCATATGCACTTTTTCTTTTGAAAACTTCATATCCTTTGACCTACTAATACTGGGAAATGGTTTTTGGTTTTATAGGTTTCTGTTAATTATCAATACATCATGGATACCAAGCCCTATCTAAGAAATGTGATATAAAGATTTTTTCCAGTCTATTACTTCCCTTCTTATCCCAAATAATTAATTTTGTTTGTGCAAAAGCTTTTCAATTTCACTTTTTTTTTCAATTTCAATCAAAATTACCTATTCTTTTGTAAAGATAAAACATTTTTTATAAAATATCTGCCTCTATCCCTTGTTTGGTTCAGAATTCATTCCTACTGATAGCTATGAAAAGATATATTATCTGCTTCTCTTCTAATTACTTTTGTGATATGATATTTAAAATTTAGGCCAAGTATTGATTTTGAATTTATTGTGAAGTAGCATAAGATACTGGTCTATGCTAAATTTCTTGTCAGACTGCTTTCCAGTTTTCTTAGCAGTTCTTATGAAAATGGGAGTTAATTCCTAAGATAGGCATACAAATGATGTGCTGGTAGAGCTTTGAATTTGGTACAACCATTTTGGAAAGCAAAAAATAAAAATAAAAAGAGAATTACGCAAATTAATTAGTTAAAATGCCCATGCCCTTTGCCCCAGAAATCTACTGCTAGACATATATCCTAAAGGAAATCAGTGATAAAAAGACACCACCACAATACTTATAGAAGCAAATAACTGGAAATAAAGTGAGTACCCATTGATTAGGGACTGGTTAAACAAATTGTGGTACATGAATGTAATGGAATATTACTTGTGCTACAAGTAACACCCATGAGGAATACAGAGAAGCCTTGAAAGAATTACATGAAGTGATACAAAGGGAGGTAAGCAAAGTCAAGAAACAATACACACAATGACTACAACAATGTAAATGAAAAGAACAAAAACCACAAAATAAATGAAAATGAACAATGCAAAATTACAAAGAGCAAGTCTGATCCCAAATATGAAGTGAAAAGATAACTTCTCTTATTCCTTTGCAGAAGTGAGGGGCCATATATGTGGGGAGACACTACATATGAGAATTTTTTTTTATATTCTTGGGGATTTAAAGAAATTCCATGATGTAGACATTTTATTAAGAAAATAATACATTCCAAAAAAAAAAAAAGAAAATAATACATTCAGTGCTAGACTTGGAGTTAGGAAGACCTGGGTTCAAGCCTTCCCTGAGACACTTACTGTCTGTGAAACCCTGAAAAAGTCTCTTAACTTTTCAGCTCCCTCCAAAATTATCAACGATCTTTTGTGGATAGAGCACCAGTCCTGGAGTCAGGAGGACCTGTTAAATCTGGCCTCACACACATAACACTTACTAGCTGTGTGACTCTGGGCAAGTCACTTAACCTCAATTGCCTCACAAAAAAAAAAAAAAAAAAGAATACATTCAGATAGCATTAATTTTAATGATACTTTATATTATTTGTGTAGAATTACTGACCTATGCTATAAAAAACTAACAAAGGATACTGAATGACCCCAGCTACTAACATTCCTAACTAGGTCTAATGAATAAAAGTATTACAAGCAATTCATTCACTTAACCATTTATTGAGAGTTTATTACATACAAAATTCTGTAATAGGTGTTCTGTCTGTATGCATGGAGTCTCAAGAGAATACAAGCTACTATACTAAACTTTCTAGTAACACATTACCTCCCAAAACTTCATTCCTTTAAGACTTTCTGAAATTTTTATGTTTGGGTCAAGATTTCCTCCCAATAGCCACACCTCTCTCCAATTTGCTAATTTAAGTCAAAAGAAAAATGTTAAGGGGGCAGCTAGGTGGTGCAGTGGATAGAGCACTGGCCCTGAAGTCAGAACGACCTGAGTTCAAATCTGGCCTCAGACCAAACACTTGACACATGCTAGCTGTGTGACCTTGGGCAAGTCACTTAAACAGGATTGCCTCACTAAAAAAAAAAAAAAAAAAAAAAAAGGAAAATGTTAAGACGTACCTTATGAGAAATTAGCTTTAGTACAACTTTTAGGGGTAGAGGTGGGAGAACTATAAATCTACATTCACAGCTTCATGACTCACCTGAAATGCATATAAACAGACTAATTCAGTTGGTCTTGGACTGACTTATTTCTAATTAAATGTTTTCTCTCTTATCTTCCTCATGCCTCTTCCCTACATGTCAACATCTCTATTAGCCATGGTAAGAGAAGGTAGTAATGGCATGAATAATCCAAAAATCAGTTAATTTTTAATTTAGAATGTTGGTACTTATAGTTGAATATAGTGTGTCTAATGATTTGTGAATTCACAATAATTAATGGCACACTGCTCAGGTCTAACTCGGGAATATTAAGGGTTCATATATTCTCTTTAACAATAACATTCAAATACTCCCAAGTAAAAGAAATCTCCAAGGTGGTTAAAAGCTGCCCAAGAAAATAAAAGCTGTCAAGGAAATTAATTGCTTTTAAAATCTTCTTGTCCAAAGGGCCCATAGCTGTATCTCTTATCAATCCACTTAGTGGCAAAGTTAATTCAAAGTATCCCAGGTTTGCTCCATAACCTCACCTCTTCACTCACAACAGTCTTGTTGTGGAAGTATGTGGGGTTACCTCAAGCCCCCTAAGTTCCACCAGTATCCTGACTAACAAGAGATAGGCAGAATTAGTCCTCAAATAACCACAAGCCTTATCGGAAACAAATCTGTCCTCTAACTAAGCTTAAAGTCTTCCTAGCACACACCTTCCCTGGGGTGAGAAAGGATATATATGTTCTATTTTTAAAAGGTCTTTCCTAGCTATGAGATGGTGAGTGGTTCTGTTGACCAACTGTGTAGTTTCACATAAACTAATCAATTAAGAAACCTTATTTTTCAAGCCTCAATGTCTCCCCTGTATACATTTTCCCCATAATAAAATCAAATATGCAAAGAAGCTGAAGATTAACTTCAAACCTTCGTTGGTGTTCATTTAGCAACTACAAACGTTTTGAAGGCAGACCTACCGATTACAGTCTAACAGCAAGCTTTTTTGACAGTGGGTGAACCATCCTTACACTCAGTTCCTGACCCAGTAAACATTTCACAAACGAAGCACAGTATGGGTAGGTAGGTGGGAGAGCTTGTATTCTTCCTATTCAGCAGCTCTCAGAGTTACTGTGTGGTGAAATGCCTAGAACAGTGGTATACACAGATTCTAACACCATGGCCTTGGTGAGACCCCTTAATGAAATTTAATTATTGTTTGTATCCTATTTTAATGTGTGAGTACACTGTAGACTGTCTATTTGACTTTCTCCATAGAGGGTGTAAAAAATTTAAATGCATGCCTTATACAGTAACAGAGAGCTCACTGAAGTGAAGGTTATGATTCATACAATCTTGATTATGCATTGGAACCAAATTTTGCCTGGGAACATGCCTCCAAAATTTTAAGTCAATGGGAAAGGAGAAGTTGATACATAAGTTTTCATTTTATAAACAACTTTCATAAAATGCAACCAATAAATAAAGTCAAGCTATTCCATTTATGTTAATGAAAACATGAAACCAAGAGCTGGCTTACAATGACACAAACAAACTTTTGAGTAATTAATAACTGACTACTAGATTTTTTGAGTTACAGCAAATGAAAGAGTTACGAAAAAAATGATAGAAATTGCCATATACCCTACAATCTTAATGAAAGTTATCCTGAATAAATCATTATTTTAATGTTTCCAGGCAAAAAAGGGACTCCTTGAGAAAAGAAATAAGGATAAAGTGTTCTAAATTATTCAATGATGCTTCAGTGCTCAGTCAAAATTCTACATATAAAAGTTTCTGCCCCTGGCTTTCTTTGCCCTGCATTGTCTAGTCCTTTGCATACAACAGGTGCTCAATAAAAGTCTATTTATATATATGGATAAATATTTTCATAGTAGTATTATATGTAATATTAAAAAAATCTGGAGCTGGGAATGATATATTTGTGACAATGAGTAATGGGGACTGACTGCATTAGCCACTCTGTTTCTAGCCTGAGGATAGGAAGATCGAGTCTCAAAAAAACAAACTATAAAGTTGAACAAAATACATACCCATTGGTTAGAGAAGAGCTCAACAAATTATATTACTATAGTAGAATATTACTGTACTGTAAGGAATGATGAATTATGAAAAATTCAGAAAAAGATAAGAATGCTTATGGGAAACAATGTGGTTAAATAAATGACATATAAAATAATTATACCAATATCCTAACAAAGTGGGTGGAAAGTCACCCACAAACATGGTCAACTGCAACAGCTGGTATTAGTACCAACCTGTAAAAATTAAAGAACACATTTCTCTTTTCTTCAAACAACTGACAAATTAATTTTTTTCAAAGGATTTTGGGTGTTTATTTGGTGATATCTGTCTAACAAAATACCTGAATATTTATTTTTACTCCATTGATGATGATAGAACAATCCTTTCCAGTTGCTTCACTGACAAACCCTGCATGTTACTGAAAAACTCTTTGCTGGCCTCAAAGCCCTAGGTTCTGAATGTATATACCATTCAATCAGAACCATTAAGCTCTCAAAACTCTAAAACTTTGTACAATATACCAAGTACAAAATAATGAAATGGCAATGAGATATGAAGACTATACTGGTTATCCCCCTGAGACAAACATCCTGTGCTAAAAAGACAGGGGCTGGCAGAGAGACCATTTTTTCTGAATCAGAAATGCATAATGTTTTTCTCACTGAGAAGAGCAGTATTAATTATTAACACAATTACTAACGTGGAAGGCTAAAGCTTTGACTTTGATGTACTTATTAATATAAATTCACATAATTTACTTAAGCTTATTTACTTATAATTTACTTAGGACTTCTCTAATAACAGCAATGTTTTCCCCACAGCAATTCTATAAGGCAGGTACTGAAATTATGAGTCTCTCCATTTTATAAGTGAAATGACTTGTCCATAAGCACATGGCTAGCACCAGAGTTGGAAGTCAAACCTAGGTTTTGACTTGCAAAGCCTATGCTCATTCCAGGATGTCACATTACCTAACATTATGCGTCACATTTAAGCTTAGAACAAATTATTCTGACTTCTCATTTTTAACTAAAGTCAACGTTAAAAATGTTTAAAGGTCAAATGATTACTTGCTGCTTGATACTTTGCACTCCTATTGAACCCTGTGTATGACACCTCAAAAGCTTTTTTGAAATCAGAATTTTCTCCAAAAGCATGGATGAGAAGTTCTGAAGCAGGGATTAAATGTTATGCCCAAGGTCACATAGCAAGTGGCAGAATAAGTGTGACAGAACTCAGGACTCTGCCTAACTACTGTACAGATATTCCCATCTAGCAAGAGACATTTGTGAACATTCTTACTGTAGCACAAATATAAAGAGAGAAAATGATACTCTTTTTAAGAAAAAGATACCCTTCTAGTCATTCCATATTCAAATGCCTGTTGTCTGCCTATAATAATGATTCTAGAACAGATGGCAAATACACAACACATAAAAATAATGGAGTATAAAAAAATGTTGATATACTTATCTCTCGATGCCCCCACGTTGGGAGGGAAGTCTTTCACTTATCCTTCCCAAAAGAACCAGAAATAAGTATTCTATGTTCCACTCAGTCACCTCTAAAGTGTAAAAAACATCTCACATGAAATCCTTACCAGTAGCTGTATTTGTGACACCATTTACTGTCCCTTCCACATCAGTCTCGTCCTCTGCATAGCTGAGCATCAAGCTTTGCTGCCTGCTTGTCAGTCTTCTGTGAAGGGCAAACAAGGCAATGTGCCATTATTTCTGAGTGGCTATTTAATGCCTATTCTGGACAGGGACATATGATAGACTTTAGTATGTAGTAAACAATGATAAACCATATCCATGTCCAATATATTCAAGAATCTTTTAATGTACCCATTGCACGTCCAGGAAAAATAAAAGTTCATCATAACATTCAGATACAAAGACATGATTCTCTATACTCTTACACTTATAAAAAGACTACATGTTTGCTTACACTCTTCTTTTTTTATTGCTAGATGTAAATAATCTCTGCATTATCTTATTTAAAAAAAACATTCAACACAAAACTACACGACTAATACGCTGTGGTCCTCAGGTTGACCTATTTCCCTACCCATTTATTCACTCTCTATTACTCAAATGAATATCCTCCGACCAATTTGCATTCATTCACCTTCAAAACATATATATTACTGAAAGAGGTTAGAAAAATAACTTTTTTCTCCACTGGCTTTCACTATAATTTCAGAGAAGTGTCAGTGGAAAAAATTTTGGCTCCAGGCCCTCCAGCCCCCAAAAAAGGTTCCTTGTTGCTAAAATGTCAATTTCTTACCCCTAAAATGTGGAGGGAAAATTCACCAAATATAGTAAAAACAATGAGGTACCTAAACCAGATTTTTTCCAAAACTTAAATGAAAATCAAACTTTGAATTACTTGTCAACAAATTATTTCAACAATAACTATTAACCACTAGAGTCTTCAGAGGAAAAAAATGTTAATGCAAAAAGTAGAGTAGTTCAGAAGCAAAGTAATTAAGTTTTCATTATATATAGAGTAATACTCTCAATAAGTGTTGTTTGACTATTCAAAGTGAAAGATTTATTAGATTCTAATCTACTGCCAAACTAGTGACTTACCTGGGAATTCTAACCTTTAGATGAATGTAGTGGTCACCATAGCCATAGCTATTAATCCGGGGGATGCCTTTCCCACTCATTCGAAGTTTTTGGTCAACCTGTACCCCAGGAGGGATCTATGAATGGGAAAGAAATCTGTTGAGATTACTTGTGTTTCTAGGGACCCAAATGAATACTTTTCATTATAGTAAGATAATCTCAAAGTGCTGCCTTGGAAAAAGTTAGTTGTCATTTAATCTAGTAATAGTTCAATGAACCCAAAACCTCATCAATCCAAATATTCCCTCTAACCATGCAGATTATAATCCAACCACATCTTCTCATAAAATGTTCCACAGAGGTCTGACCCAATGAGCTAGAAGCCTTCTTCTAGGTTGTTGTTGTTTTTTTAATATTCAATGCTCTCTGATCCTTCACTTCTGCTACATGACCAATCTGCTTCCTTTTCCCAGCAAATGCAAACCTTAAAAGTGTTATATAAACATGAGCTATTATTATTATTATAATTATCATACATTTCCTTAATACTATTTTTTTTGGTTTTGCTTTTAGGCAATTGGGGTTAAGTGACTTGCCCAGGGTCACACAGCTAGTAAGTGTTAAGTGTTTGGTCTGAGGCCGGATTTGAACTCAGGTCCTCCTGACTTCAGGGCCGGTGCTTAATCCTCTGTGCCACCTAGCTGCCCCTAATACTATTTTTAAAGTCACTTCTTGCATACAAGTTCTTACTGTTAATAGGCTACAGCCTACTGAAGTACACAATATGTCTCTCTGTTCCCTTTTGGGTCATCTGTGATTTTGATTTTTCATAAATTATAGTGTTACTGATTGAGGCCAATCAGTTCCTCTGTTTCACGAACACCAGGACTTTGAATAAGGAAAAAATAATTCACATTCAACAACAACCTAAAAATATGCTTTATTCTTGCATGTAAAAACATAATCCTAAATTTTACATGTTATTAATTCAGCAGTTACAGGACACTTGAATATCATTTTCCCATGCAGGGCAGTAAATAGACTCCCTTAATTTCTTGTAGACCAATGACTTACCGTGACATTGATTGTCTCATATAGCCCCTGAGTTCTGGCTGTCCCACCAAGGACAGCTTGAGCTACAGAAATAAAGAGGTCTGAGTGGATATCTGCTCCATCCCTCCTAAACACAGGACTTCTCTGAACCTAAAATAATAAGAAAAAGGATTACTACCAAGAGATCAAGCCCTATAAATGACACATTATTTACCAGAAAACCAAATTCTGGGGTCTGAGGTACAATTTCAACCCTTTCTGCTTTTGTTTCAAGAATCATCATAACCAAAAGGCTACATTTCCCCAAAATGAACTCTTCAATGTTTTAGACTTAGCTTTTCTCCATTCTCAAAAAGTATCTATCCTTTGTCAACCTATAATACACTGAATTATAAGGGGGAGGAAAAAACAGCTCCATTTTTTTTTCAATGTATCAGGTGCTACATTTAAAAAAAAAAGAAAGAAAGAAATTTCCTCATGATTCTATTTTTTGAGCTCAGAAGGATGGAAATGTAGTGAGCTAACCTTCCTGGGTGTTCAACACTAAGCCCATTATCAACAACGTGAAAGCTCCCAGGAGTGGGGGACCACCAGGAAAGACCTCTTTGCCTAAGGGGGAGCAAACTATCCCAAGTCAGAAACAGAGCAGGTCAAATCGCTCATGCCAGTCAGTAATGAGATCAGGTTCATAAGTTGCCCCACCATTTGTATCTAAGATGAAATAGGAAAACTAAGTCTTTTTAAAAAAAAAAAAAAAAAGTGGGTTTTCCTTACCAGATTGTGGAGCGGGAGAAGCCAAGAGCAACCTAATGGCTACCAAACATTTACTGAGTGTCTGTTATGTGCATGGAAAGACATAGCAGGTACATAAATAAGTATATACTTATATACACACAATAATTCAGTGAAGGAGAACTAACAGCTATATTAACATTATAAGAAAAGACTTCATGGAGGAGGTGACACCTCAGATGTGCTTTGAAGAGACTGTAGGAATACAGAAGCTCTACTGTACTACTGGAAGAACTGTGAATTGGTGTAGTCATTCTAGAAAGCAACTGAGAACTATGGCAGAAAGTTACCTTCGACTCAGCTATACCAGTGGAAGGCCTGTAACCCAAACAAATTAAAGAGGAAAATATGTGCAAAAATATTCACAGCAGCTCTTCTTGTGGTGGTGAAAAATTGGAAACTAAGGTGTTATCTTACTGGAGAATGATTAAACAAATTACAATACATAAATATAATGGAATATTATTGTGCCACAAGAAATAAAGAAACAGTTCCAAAGGAAATTAAGAAGATGTATCAACTGATGCTGCACAAAGTTAGTGAAACTAGGAAAACAATTTAAACAATAACATCATGGAGAAAAAAACTTTGAAAGACCTTAGGACTCTGATCAACACAATAATAAATCCTAAGTCTGAAAAGATGAAACCCATCATTCACCTCCACAAAGGTGATGAAAAGACAGCCATCTTCAAGACATGGCTAATGAGGGAATACATTTTGCCAGACTATGTGCTTGATTTCTCAGAACTTCCCTGCTAACTATCATCCCCTCTCCTCCCTTTTGTGACTAAACTCCATGAGAGAGGGCTATTTATAGTCACTGTTTCCCCTTTTTCTTCACCTCACTCTCTTCTAAACTCAGCAGTCTAGCTCCAATCTCATCATTCCATTGACACTGCACTTTCCACAGTTACCAACGATCTCTTAACTGCCAAATCCAATTGTTTTTCTTGATCTTCACCCTTCCTGACCTCTTTGCAGCCTTCATTACCGCTGATCACCCTTTTCTTGATACTCCCCTCTCTTGAGGTTTTTGTAACACGGCTCTCTCCTAGTTCTCTTACCTGGATGATCACTCCTTCTCCATCTCCTTTACGAGGTCTTTGTCCAGATCACATCCTCTAAATGTGGGCGACAAGAGACTGTTCTGGTTCCTACTCCCTTCTCCCTCTGCACCAGCTCATCCGGTGATCTTATAAACTCCCATAGACTTAATTATCATGTCTATGCAGATGATCTGTTTATCTCATACTAACCTCTCATCTCACATCTCCAAATGCCTTTGAGACATCTTGAACTGGATGACTTAGAGACTTAGCCTCAAACTAAGCTCATTATCTGTCTTCCCAACCTTTCCTCTCTTTTGAACTTCCTTATTAAGGATACCCACAATTCTCCCAGTCACCCAGGAATGCAACCCAGATGTGTTCCTGAACTCCTCACTTTCTCACCTTCCGTATCCATCTGTTGCTGAATCCTGTTGATTCCACATTCCTGACAACTTTTCTATGTGCCCCTTTCTCTCTTCTGACACTGGCAGGACCTTGATACAAGCCCTTGATACCTCATGCCATTGCAACAGCCTTCTGGTTGGTCTGTCTTCATTCCAATCTATACTCCACTCAGTTGTCAAATTGATCTTCCTAAAGCATTGGCATAAATATGTCATCCTCCTATTCAATTAATTCTAGTAACTTTCTATTATCTACAGGATCAAGTATAAAATGCTTTACTTGGTTTTTAAAGTCCTTCAAAACCTGGCCCCCTCCTACTTTTTAAACATTCTTACACCGATTCTCCCCATGTACTATGTAATTCAGTGACACTGGCTTCCTTTATATTCCTCCCATAAAACACTCCACCTCCTGACTGGTCATTTTCACAGGCTGCCACTCATACCTAGAATTCTCTCCCTTCTCATCACCTTTTCCTGAGTTCTCTGGCTTTAAATTCTGGCTAAAATCCCATCTTCTACAAGAAGTCTTTTTCAGTCCTCTTTAATGCTAACACATTACTTCTGTAATAATCTCCAATTTATCCAGTATATACATTGTATGTACATAACTTGTGTGTTGTCCCCACATTAGCCTGTGAGCAACTTGAGAGCAGGAATCATTTGTTTTTTGCCTTTATGTCCTAGCACTCAGTACACAATGCCTGGCACATAAAGTACACGACTGATAGCTTTATTTTGTTCAGTTGGGAGGCTGCAGGGACATTGTGGAAGGGACAGATTAATTTTAAAATGCTTGCTAATTTAAAAAAAAAATGATAGTGCAAAGTACTAGTGCCTCAGGTTCTTCTTTAAAAAAAAAAAGGTGGGGATAAATATAAAGGAATACTATTGTGCTATAAATGATGTGTGATGAAAACAGAGAAGCATGGAAAGATCCATATGAATTGATGCAAAGAAAATTAAGCAGAGCCAAAAAAACAACAAACAGTGGCTACAACAATGTTAATGGAAAGAATAAGGACATAAAAGAAAATCAAAAGTAAATGCAACAAAAAAGCAGGATTCAAATGAGGGGCAATGAAAAGACACCCCTAATGCACCCCTTCATGAAGGTGAGAGGTACACAGGTATTACACATTTCACGTGTTTTTAGACTTTTTCAATGTACTGACCAATTATGCTAATTTTTCCTCTCTAAAAAAAATAGTATTTGTCATATACTTGGATAAACATGGTGATGTAAGAAACAGAAAATATCAATAAAAACTTATTTTTAAAAAAAGAAAGTGAGGAAATCAGGCACACCTATTTGTCCAAAACATTTGCTCAAACTTGCCTCCCAGATTTCTCTACCTGTGTTCTCTATCTGAATCAATCATATGACAAGCACTAATTAAGAACTATGTGCCAGGCACTCTGCTAGGTGCTGGGGATACAAAGACAAAAATCAAATAATCCTTACCCTCAAAGAGCTGATGCTTTATCAGGGGAGATAACATGTACATATATAAGTACAAACAGAAAGGATACAAAATAAATCAGGTTAGTTTAGGAAAGGAAGGCACTAGCAGTTGAAGAATCAGAAAAGTGTTCATGTAGAAAGTGGCACCTGAGCTGAGTCTTGGAGGAAATAAAGATTTCCACAAAGGAGATGTGAGGATAAAGCACATTCATTGCAAGTACAAGGGCCAGCCATAAAGTCAGGACACGGAGAGTCATGTATGAGAACATAAGCCAGTTTGGATAGAACGAAGAGCATGGAAAGAGGAACAATGAGGTTGAAAAGGTATGTTGAGGCAAGGCTATAAAAGACTTTAAAAGCCACAAAGGAATTCATATTTGTCCTAGAAATAATTAGAGCCACCAGATAATCGTCATTATAAGCCTGTGCTTTAGAAAATCACTTTGGCAGCTTGTGGAGAATGGACTGGGTGAGGAGGGAGTTAAGGCAGGGAGATCATTATAATAGTCCAGGTAATGAGGACCTGAACCAAGGTGGTGGCTGTGAGTAATGAGAAAAGGATGTAAGTGTAACATGACAAAACAGGAAAATGATAAATGTTGGAGAAGATGTGGGAAAACTGGAACACTAATACATTGTTGGTGAACTGATCCAACCATTCTGGAGAACAATTTGGAACTATGACCAAAGGGCTATAAAATTGTGCATACCCTTTGACCCAGCAATACCACTTCTAGGTCTGTATCCCAAAGAAATCATAAAAATGGGAAAAGGACTCACATGTACAAAAAAAATTTATAGCAGCCCTTTCTGTGGTGGCAAAGTATTGGAAATTGAGGAATGGCTGAACAAGTTGCGGTATATGAATATAATGGAATACTATTGTGCTATAAGAAATGATGGTGGACTTCAGAAAAACCAGGGAAGACTTGCAATGACTGACTTTGACAGACTTAGCTCTTCTTAGCAATGCAGACTCATGATGGAAAATGCTATCCACATCCAGAAAAAGAACTATGGAATACAAATGCAAATTGAAGCATGTTATTTGCTCTCTCTCTTTTTTTTTTTTGGTTTCTTCTTTCTCCTGTGACTCCTCCCATTAGTTCTAATTCTTCCTTCCATCATGACTAATGTGAAAATATGTTTAATATGAATGTATTATGCAGAGCCTATATCAGAGTGCACGCTGTCTTGGGGAGAGGGAGGAGAGAGAAGAGGAGAAAATTTAAAACTCAGAATCTTATGCAAGCAAATGTTGAAAAGAAAAAATAAATCAATTAATTTAAAAAAAGGGGGAAAAAAAGGATGTAATTGGGGGAGGGTGAGTAGAGGATAATACCTAAATTGGAAAGTTCATGAAAAGGGATAGTTTTGGGGGCAAACAAATGAGTTGTTTTAAGACATGCTAGTTAAAGATAGCTATAGAAAATTCAGTTTGAAATACAAAAAAGTAACTGGCAACATGGAGCTACAGCGGAGAAGAATCAAGCTAGAGACATATATATGTGAGTCATCTGCATAGAAATGATAACTAAATACATGGGAGCTGATAAGGCCTCTAAATGAGAATGTAGAATGAGAATGTAGAAGAGGGCCCAGAACAGGGCCTTGCAGTACACCCAGGTAAGAGGAGTGATACAGATCACGAGCCAGCCAAAGAGACTGAGAAGTTGTCAGATATGTAGGAAAAGAAGTAGGGGAAAGCAGTAGAAACCCGGAGAAGAGAGAGTAGACTACAGTGTTAAAGAGGGGTCAAAAGATGAGGACTGAGAAGACTATAAAATCTGGCAATCAGATCACTGGTAATACAGGAGGCAGTAGTTTTAGTTAAGTGATGAGGTCTGAAGAGAGATCTGAGGAGACTGAGGAATGAGGAGATTAGGGTGTTGGAAGAAGCACCAACACATATGCTGAAATTCCCTCATACAGGGAAGGAGTTGGGGAGGAAAGACTGTGATCCAGGTACTGAACTCTGAGAGAAAAATAACACAGTGTCTGGTAGTCAAAACAGCCATCATGATCTGAAATGTATAATAAAATTTGGAAGAAATGAACATCAAAAAAGGAGATGCTGAGTGATAGCAGCAAAGGGAAGGATCTCGAAGTTAGTAGGCAATAAGTATGCGATAAACTGCAAACAAAGATGGAAAGGGTAGCCAGAGAGTCATCTGAGGGAAGCCAGCTTTCTTTGTGTGCCTAAGATGGAAGGGGATTGAAAGAAAAAGTTTCAAAATGAAAGGGAGATTTGTTATGGAACAAGAACTTTAGAGGACACAGGTACAGAGAGTTGGAATGAAACATGGGAGGGGGAAAACTGAGTAAGTTGGGGATAAGAAGCAAGGTAGGGAATGGGGAGGAGGGTGGTTTATTCATAGACAGCCCAGGATTATTTATCACAAGGACTGGGAAAGGAACAAGTGGTGGGAGTTTGCTAGTCATAGCTGGGGGGGGGGGGGGGGGAGTAGTGGGTGGAAACAGTTCCACTGAAGATAACAGATAATGAGATTAGAATTGTCAGTCTATAGTTATGATTCAGGGTCTTAAGCAGAGCTTGGATGACTCAATAATCTCTGTGGCAGCAATCTCTTATATTGTCCTTTATGTCCTGATTATCCTCAAATATCTGGGGATGTCTACCACACTCACTTAGTATTCAGCAATTTTCTGTTACCTATATATCCCAAGCACCTACCTACTATAGGTAGCAGACAGTTAACTGCTAATAGTTATCTTGCAGATAACAAGTACATGTGTTTGCTGATTTCAATATTTTCATTTAAGAACCCCAAATTGAAGAAAAAGTTCCAATAGATTTGGCTAGTCCCTGCTTGCACTTAAAAGAGAAAATGTTGCCTCTACTTTCTCTACCTTCCTCAGGATGGCAGAAGAGTTTGTTTGTTATGTAAAAACAACAACAGATGAAATACATACCTTGAATGTTATGAAAATTTCTTTTTTCCCTACAGGCATTCTAACAGTCTGGCCATCCTCCACTCCTGCAATAAAAACAAAATTAAATATTTTTAAATCACTCAGGTTCCTATTATGAGATCTCTTATAACCTCACTACTCTAATGCTGTATTTTACCAGCAAAACAGCACATATCTATCTAGAATGGCAAGAAGTATGATTTCTTGAAATTATGACATTTTTTTTAAAATGTGAAAAAGCACCAAAGAAACCTCAAAAGAAATTATCATATTCTAGGAGGTACATATTTGGCTCCTACTAGAGGAAGAGAGAACCAAAAGAAAGGAAAATAAGGCAATTTTGAGACTCTCTTAAAGAGTGTAACAAATTTTTTCCCTTCTAATAAGGTATACAAAGTAAAGTACTGAAGGATGAATAATACCAAATGTATTAAAAACCTTGATTTCAAAACATCTCCAAATATTTATTATTTTTCACCTGTCTTTACTACAACTTTATCACTTGGATATAAAGAGTAGAAAAGTCATCTCAGTTCTAAAAATCAATTTTACACTGAGTAAGTATAAAAATGAACCTGCAGGTACTGGGACGACGACCTTCTTCTTCTGTTTGGCTTGTCCTGTTCCCCTACATACTACACAAGGAGTAGTTATTATGGATCCACGGCCTCCACATCGTCTACATGTGGAACGCATCACAAAAGGGCCTGTATTTATGGTTTCCTGTTGAAAAAAGGAAGAAAAATCAATACTTTTCTTTCATTTCCATATACTACAAGACAACTGGCTGAATATGGTTCTCATGGTGTATACCATGAAAATGACTCACTGAAGATTTAGATATTTTATATGGGTGTGTGTATAAAGTTAATAAAGCCCCACAGATTAGATGCCCCTCAAACATTTTAATCTAACATAGTTTTCTAGAAGTAATAAAACTATCTCTGAATACTAAAAATAAAAAAAATAGGCGTACTAGTTTTATCAATAATGGAAAATGAGAGTCTATCTCCTCTGCAAAAGTACCTGAATGTTATACCTATGCTACTATAAATTTGGAGGGCAGGGAAAGTAATTCATAGTTTTTTGTTGTTGTTGTTATTTTCTTAGTTTATGAAGTATTATAAGGGTATCATCTGATTTTACTGCATTCACAGGATCACTGACTACAGGTTCAGAGATCATAATAGTGCTGGATGGGACCTTGGAGGCCATGGAGACCAAACCTCCTCATTTTACAGATCAGGAAACCAAGGCAAGCAAGGTAAAGTCACTTGCACCACATCTCACAGCTAATAGGGATCTAAAGCAGAAGCCAAGTCTTCCTGACTACAAGTTTAGCATCCTATCTACCACATCACACTGTCCCCTCACTGGCTGCTATGTATGAATAAGGACACAGACAGCATTGTCTTTAACATTCAGATCACAGCCCCACCTCAAAGTTACTGTGAAATATGGAATAAAATGTTGGCCTAGGGGCAGCTAGGTGTCGCAGTGGATAGAGCACTGGCCCTGAAGTCAGGAGGACCTGAGTTCAAATCCAGCCTCAGACCAAACACTTGACACTTACTAGCTGTGTGACCCTGGGCAAGTCACTTAACCCCAATTGCAAAAAAAAAAAAAAAAAAAAAAGATGTTTGCCTAACCTAATTTCTGTCAGCCTGCTTTCATTTTCTCAGCAGTTCTGATCAAATAGGGAATTTTTTCAGTTATTCATGTTTTTAAGTCTTTCAAACACTGAGCTACCAAATTCCCTTATTTCTAATTCTTCCTGTCTAGTCTAATCTATTATCATATCTAATCAGTATAATTTTAGTATTTTATTTTTCCCAATTACATATCAAACAATTTTTAACCTTTTTTACAATTTTGATTTCCAAAATCTCTTCCACCCTCCCTCCTCTTCCCCTCATTGAGAAGGAAAGCAATCTGATAAAGGTTATATATGTAACAGTCATGTAAAACATTTTGATATTAGTCATGTTGTAAAAGAAAACAGACCAAAAAAGAAAAATAAAGAAAGTTAAAAAACAGTAGGTTTCTATCTGCATTCAGACTCCATCAGTTCTTTCTAGGGATATGGACAGGATTTTTCATCACAGGTCCTCCAGAATTATCTTGGATCTTTTTATTGCCAAGAATAGTCAAGTCTATCATAGTTGATCATCACACAATGTTGCTGTTACTATGTACAATGTTCTGGTTCTGCTCACTTCACTACATCAGTTCATGTATGTCTTTCCAGGTTCTTCTGAAAGTATCTTGCTCATTATTTCTTACAGCAAAACAGTTTTTCATCACAATCACATACTACAATCTGTTCTGCCATTAATGGACATCTTCTCAATTTCCAATTCTTTGCCACCACAAAATGAGCTGCTATAAATGTTTTTGTACATATATGTCCTTTTCCTCTTTTAAAAAATGTCTTTGCAGGGCAGCTAGGTGATGCAGTGGATAGAGCACAGGCCCTGAAGTCTGAAGGACCTGAGTTCAAATCCGGCCTCAGACCAAACACTTGACACTTACTAGCTGTGTGACCCTGGGCAAGTCACTCAACCCCAATTGCCTCACCAAAAAGAAAAAAAGAAAACAAAATAAAAAATTTTTAAAAAAATTCTTTGGGATAAAGACCCTAGTAGTGGTATTATTGGGTCAAAAGGTATGCAGTTTTATAGCCTTTTGAGCATAGTTCCAAATTTCTCTCCAGGATTAATGGATCAGTTTACAACCCCAGCAACAATAGTCTCTGAATTATCCCACATACTCTCCAACATCTGTCATTTTCCTTTTCTGTCATATTAGCCAATCTGATAGATGTAAGGTGGTACCTCAGAGTTGTTTTAATTTGCATTTCTCTAATCAAAAGTGATTTAGAGCACTTCTTCATATACCTATAGACAGCTTTGATTTCTTCATCTGAAGACTGTTTGTTTTTGCCCATTTGACCCTTTGACCATTTAGCGACTGGGAAATGATATTTGAAGTCTTACAAGTTTGACTCCATTCTCTATATATCTGAGAGAAAAGGCTTTTATCAAAAAAAAAAAAAAAAAAAAAAAAAACCTTGTAGTAAAAAATTCCCAGTTTTCTGCTTTCCTTCTAATCTTGGTTGATTGTGTTTGTGCTAAAACTTTATAATTTAATGTAATCAAAATTATTCAGTTTGCATCCGGTACTGTTCTCTATATCTTGTTAGGTCCTAAATTCTTCCTTTATCCATAGATGTGACAGGTAAACTATTCCACTGTCCCCTAATTTGTTTATATCACCCTTTATATGTAAATGATGTACCCATCTTGACCTTATCTTGGTATATGGTGTGAGATGTTGGTCTATTCCTAGTTTCTGCCAAACTGCTCCCCAGTTTTCTGAGCTATTTATGTCAAATATTGAGTTCTTGTCCCAAAAGTTTGGATCCTTGTGTTTATGAAACACAAGATTACTATGGTTGTTTCCTACTATGTATTACACACCTGATCTATTCCACTAATCCACAGCTCTATTTCTTGCTAGTACCAGACTATTTTGATGATTATTGCTTTGTAATACAGCTTGAGACCTGTTATGGCTAGGCCACTTTCCTTCACATTTTTTTTCATTAATTCCCTTGATATCCACGATCTTTGGTTCTTTCAGATGAATTGTTACAATTTTTTTCCTAGCTCTATAAAATAATTTTGGTAGTTTAATGGGTGTGGCACTGAATAAGTATGTTAATTTAAGCAGAATTGTCATTTTTATTATATTGGCTTGACCTACCCATGAGCACTTAATATTTTTTCAATAGTTTGGATCTGACTTTATTTGTGTGAAGTGTTTTGTAACTGTGTTCATACAGTTGCTGAGTTTGTCTTAGCAGGTAGATTCCCAAGTATTTTATGTTGCCTACACTTATTTTAAATGGAATTTCTTTATCTCTTGCTGCTGGACTTTATTGGTAGTATATAGAAACACTGATGATTTATGTGGGTTATTTTTACATTCTGTGACTTTGCTGAAGTTGTTAATTATTTCAACTACTTTTTTAGCTGATTCTCTGGGATACACCATAATATCATCTGCAAAGAGAGATAGTTTTGTTTCTTCATTGCCTATTCTAGTTCCTTCAGTTTCTTTTTCTTCTTATTGCTACAGCTAGTGTTTCTAGTACAATACTGAATAATAGTGGTGATAATGGACATCCTTGCCTCATCCTCAATTTTCCTGGAAGGCTTCTAGTTTATCCAATTACAGACAATATGTGCTGTTTATTTCAGATAAACACTACTTATCATTTTAAGGAAAGCTCCATTTATTCCTATGCTTTCTAGAGTTTTCAATAGGAATGAGTGTTGTATTTTGTTGAAAGCTTTTTCTCCATCTATTAAGAAAACCAAATGACTTGCTGGTTTTGTTATTGATGTGGTCCATTATGCTGATACTTTTCCTAATATTGAACCAGTTTTGCATTCCTGGTATAAATCCCATCTGTTCATAATATATGATCTTTGTGATATATTGGGAGAATCTCCTTGCCAGTATTTTATTTAAAATTTCTGCACCAATTTGGAACTATGCCCAAAGGGCTATAAAACTGTGCATACCCTTTGATCCAGCAATACCACTACTAGGTCTATATCCCTAGAACATCCAAAAGGACCTACTTGTACAAAAATAATTATAGCAGCACTTTTTGTGGTGGCTAAGAATGGTGGGAAATGGCTAAATAAGCTGTGGTATATGGAATATTATTGTGCTATACGAAATGACATGCAGGATGATTTCAGAGAAATCTGGAAAGACTTATATGAACTGGTAACATACGGAAGTGAACAGAACCAGAAGAATGTTATAAACAGTAACAGCAATATTGTTAATTGTGAATGACCTGGCTATTCTCAGCAATACAATGATGCAAGGCAATCCCAAAGAACTAATAACAAAGCATACTATCCACCTCCAGAAAAACAACTGACATTGATTGAATACAATTGAAGCATACTATTTTTCACTTTCTTTCATTTTTTTCTTTTATTCAAGTCTTCTTGTACAAAATGAATAATATGGAAATATTTTGCAGAACTGCACATAACTGATTGCTTACTGTCCCAGGGAGGAAAGAATAGAATTTGGAACTCAAACCTTTAAATAAAAATATAAAAAAAATTTGGAAAAAAAATCTTGCATCAGTATTCATTAGGGAAGTTGGTCTATAGTTTTCTTCCTCTGTTTTTGCTCCTCCTGTTTAAGGTATCAGCACCATATTTGTGTCATAAAAGGAATTTGGTAGGACTCCTTCTTTGCCTATTTTCCCATACAGTTTACATAGCACCAGAATTAACTGTTCTTTAAATGTTTGGTAGAATTCAGTTGTGAATCCATATGGTCCTGGGGATTCTTCCTTAGTGAGCTCATTAACAGCTTATTCAATTTCTTTTTCCAAAATGAGGTTATTTGAGCATTTGGCTTCTTCCATTAATCTGGGCAACTTAGATTTTTATAAATACTAATCCATTTCACTTAGATTGTCATATTTATTGGCATATAATTGGACCAAAAAAGCTCCTAATGGCTGCTTTAATTCCCTCTTCATTGGTGGTGAATTCACTCTTCTCTTTGTTGATACTGATAATTTGGTTTTCTTTTTGTTTAATCAAACTAAAACAAACCAATGGTTTATCTATTTTATTGGTTTTTTTCATAAAACCAGCTCTTAGCTTTATTTATTAGTTCAATGGTTTTTTCTTTCAATTTTATTAATCTCGTTTGGTTTTTAAGATTATCAATTTAGTATTTAAATGGGTTTAATTTAATTTGTTCTCTTTTTAACTTTTTTAGTTGCATGCCCAATTCATTAATCTCTCTTTTCTCTATTTTATTGATGTGTTTATAGAGATTTAAATTTTCCTTGTTTTCACCCTTGATCTTATTGGGAAGGCTTCTAGCTTATCCCTGTTACAATTAATGCTCGCTCTTGATTTTAAACAGATACTACTTATCATTTTAAGAAAGGCTCCATTGATTCCTATGCTTTCTATTATTTTATTGTGACTTTTTGGATGTAGCTGTTTCGATATTGTTGTTCCTTCTGAGTTTGTATTTTGATTTTCCCTGTCACCATAGTAACGTTCTGTGGTCAGGTTCTTTTTCCTGTTGCTTGCTCACTTTTTCCAGCCTATTTCTCGACTTTTAACTTTATGTTCTGCTCCTAGGGTGGAGAGGACACTGTCCATAGCTTCCGTTTTTTTGTTGTTGTTTTCCGGGCTGGTTTTGGGGGAAGAGGGGACCAGCGGGCGTGGGGCTTTAGTTCTTCTGAGGTGGTATGATCTAAGGAGTGGTGTGGTCACTACACTCCAGACTACTCTCCAGGCTTGTACTCTGATTTGTAAGCGACCACAAGCATTGTTTTCTACACTACAACTGTGACCAGGGTCTCCCCTCCCCTGTATCATACTGGTGTACTAGTGGCTCCTCCTTACCCTGGGACTGCCACCCAGATCCCCCTATGGGCAATGCAACAGAGTCCTACACCGAAGGCCAGTAAAGGGTTCCCTGTCGTGTCCGATTCCTCACCCCCTTACTGTCTGAAAGCTCTGGAAGTTGTTGCTGTAGACTGAGTTGCCTCCAAGGCCTGCTTGCTGGCTTGCACAGGTGCTCAGGGCCTTGCTGCTACCTTGGTGGACACAGCATGTGCTGGACTGTGTTGTCCTCTTACCCTAGTGAAATAGACCTTTCCTCCCAACCTGTTCAACCACTGAACTTGTCTTAGGCTGGAATATTGTTTCACCCCATCCTTTTGTTGGTTTTGCACTCCAGAAGTCATTTTGAGGTGCTATTTTAAATTTGTTTGGAGAGGAATTTGGGAGGTCAGGTGAATCCATGCCTTTACTATACCATCTTTTCTAATTTTTTTTAACCAACATCAAGTAGTTTTGATGACTGCTACCTTATAATGTAATCTGAAGTTTGTAAGTGCTATTCCCCCTTCACTCTTATGTTTTGTTTTGTTTTTTATCACTTGCCTTGGATGTTCTATATCTTTCATTCCTCTCAAATTTTGTTATTATTAAGTCTTGTAAAATACTGCTTTAGAGCACTAAAACTAGATTAACTGTGGTAGTATTATAATTTTTATCACAGTGGCAAGGCCTAGCCATGAGCACTGAATGTTCTTTCAGCTATTTAAACCATTCTTTATTTCTTTAAGAAACATTTTGTAATTGAATCTTTACAACTACTAGTGTTCTTTGCTAGGTTGACTCCCAACATTTATGCATTTTGTAGATTTTTAAAATGGAATTTCCCCACTGCTGCCTCTTGCATTTTATCATATAGAAATGCAGTTGCTTTTTATGAATTTATTTTGCAGTCTGCAACTTTGCTCAAGCTTTTAACTGTCTCAATGATTTTCTTTGCTGATTCTGTAGGATTTTCTAAGTAAACCATCATGTCAATCAGCAAATAAAAATGAATGTAATGAAATATTACTGTCTATAAGAGACCTAGAATATGATGAATATAGAGAAGCATGGAAAAATTTACATGAACTGATGAAGTAAACATAGCCAAGAAAATATACATGACTTCAAGAAATGTAAATGGAAAGAACAGCAATCACAAAAGAATCAAAAGTGAATGTTGCATCTTTCCTGGAGTTGGGAGGACCTGACTTCAAATCCGGCCTAAGTCACATAAAACTTACTAGCTGGGTGACTCTGGGCAAGTCACTTCACCCCAACTGCCTCACCAAAAAAAAAAAAAAAAGTTGCAAAATTATAAAGAATGAGCTTGGCCCCAAAAAGGAGGTACCTTTATAGAGGTGAGCCCAGATTTTTTGATGTACTGACTGCTTTTGATGATTTTTTTAACTTTTTCTTTAAAAAAAAACTTTGTTATATGGGACAGCTCTCTGAGACGGGGAATAGGGAAGAATACAGGGAGAAATTTGGGCAATGTAAACACAAAAAATAACGATAAAATATATTCTTTAAAGAATTAATATACCATCCCCACAATTTATTTTCTCAGGCAAGAGAGATAGCCTTTGAAAGATGAATTCTCCCAGGCAGGCACAAAACCAAGTCAGTGTATTTGCAGTGGGGAATAATTAATTGTCCTCAAGTTTCTCTAATGCTTCACTGGCAAGAAAGTGGAAGAACGTCATCTATTGGCTCTCAAACACATCTCTACACCAAAAGCTGAGCCAATGAAGTAAAGTCACTCTCAACAATAGGAGTGGGAAGGGAAATCACTCCTTAGAGTATTTTGGTGTCTTGTCCTCTCCATTTTTCCCCTTCTCCCCACACCCCCAACAAATATTTCTCCTCAGAATTATAGAGTAGGATTCAAAAAGCGTGACTGTTCATTCAGAGAGGATGCCAACCCCAGACCTTGCTTACTGTCAGTTTTAAGCACAAAACAACTAAGAATCTAGAGAGCCAACCTGGGAATGAACAATTATGATGGGAAACAGCATCAGACAATTGGATTTGAAGCAGGTGGCCAAAAGAAAAAGCTAGTTCCATATTAATTTAAAATGTTTTCCAGTCCTCTTAAAGGGCACATATCATCATTACTTTTTTCAGGCAAGACAATTACTCTATTGAAGTGGTCATTAGCAGAATACCATCTGTGTCCCTTAGTTGACTATTATATGCCAACCTTGAAATTTACTTTGTCTTCTGACAACTCAAAACTAGATAGCACTTTAGTGCAAGGATTATTCCCATTTTGTTGATAAAGATACTGAGGTTCAGACAATGAACTACCCACGGTTACACAGCCAGTAAGGGGCAGAATTAATAACTGAATGTAGATCTTCCATTAAGCCATCTAATCTTTTCTCTAACTCCACAATATTTAAAATTTTTCAAGCAGCCATCTCCTGATGTAATAACAGCATTTAGCGCACTTGTTCTTCTTACTAAAACCGAGCTCTACCTTCAATGATATAATTGGTTTAGATAAAGTGTTCAGGGTCATAATTATGATCTATTGAGGCTAAAAGTGCTACCTAAATTTATGAGGAGAAAATCAAGAAGAAAATATGGGGAAAGAAAATACAGCGGAAATGTTAAAAAGACAAGAGAGAGAGAATGCTTAAAGAAAATGCCAAAAAAAAAAATCTAGGACCTGTCTCACCTTTTACATTAGTTCTTACCATTCCGGTGCCACCACAGTAATGGCACTGCTGAACTTTGGTGCCAGGTTCATTTCCTTTGCCATCACATCGCTCACATGAGTCATTAATGTTCACAGTAAATTCTTTGTTAACACCCTTTGCAGCTTGAATGAATGTCAATTCCATGATGTACTAGAGAGAGAAAATAACTTATTTAATCTTTCTTCATAGACGATGTTTTGCTTTTAAATACAAAGCAAAGTGTTGAGGTATATTATTTAATTTATAATAATGAGTAAATTTGAATTCATAGCATTATTCTCTCCTCAAACACTTAGGATTTTTAAGAGCACCAAGTCATTAAAATTTCAGTGAAACAGCACTTCCAACTAAAATAGTATATGGCATTTATACGCAGTGCTGAATTTTTAAAATGATTCATAATCATAACAAATTAATAAGACTATCTCTTCTCCAACTATTTTTCTTGAGACCAATACAAGAAAAAAGCTGAATTGCTTTGAGATCATTAATCACTTTCATTTGGATAGTTTACTCTAGAATTGATGTTTTTTTTGAGTACTGAAATACATTTACACCAAAATATATTCTTCAAAATTGTTGCAATTAAGCTCTCCTAGTATTAAAAAGGAGCTGTGAGTGAAAGATAAAATGACTGAAGAAACAAAGATTCAAGCTTCCAGGCAAATCAATTTATTAAGCAATGCATACAAATTGCTAAACAAACTGGGACCAGACCCCCTCAGCTTTGGCACTGGACCCCAAACAGACACAGATTTTTATACATTAAAAACAATTAATCTAATAAGACCAACCAATTAAAAGAAAACAATTAGCCAGGATACAAAATTAGGTAATCTAATTTCTAGTTTGATGAAACATTAGGAACTTTCCAAGTTGAGAAGGAGAGAGTGAACAGGTGCAATTCCATGAAACCAGAAAAAGTTTGTGTCCTACTCCCCCCATATGTCTGTTTACAATCAAAGTAATATGGAAACTGCAACTGATTGATCAGTATGGGGCCAGTTATATGGGTTGTACATATGAGTTATGTACAGTTATATGAGATGTACAACTGTGAGAAAACTCCTTTTATGGATGTCCAGATCTGACTGGGCTTCTGGTCAGCAGAGCTAAGGGTCTCTAAGCAAAAGGCAGAAGTGGTCCAACTTCCCAGGCACACAGGACTAGGTTCAAACAATGGAATAATGTTTTCTCTCAACTCCCACAATTGAATAAAGTTTTCTCACAAGAAAGAAACTGGTCAGAAGTGGGTCACAAGATGGAGTCAATGTGGTTCACTCAATTCCCGCTACCACTTGCTGTTATAATCTCCTCAAGCTTAAATGGGGTATAATTCATATAATTTCTACATTTCTGTTTATTCCTAAAGGCAAATAGTCTCATGATAGAGCAATTTCTACCTGTAATCCTTACCTCCTGAGGCTGATCAAATACACTTTGGAAATCTCCAAATGAAGATCCTGAAAACTCCCCAAAGATCTTCCTAAAGAGTTCCTCTGGGTCAACAGTAGGGCCACCTCGCCAGTAGCTCTGTCCAGAAGTTCCTGCTCCAGAGTCAAAGCCAGCTGAACCATAAGTATCATACTGTTTTCGCTTCACTTCATCACTTAACACCTGTTAGACAAAAAGCAATGTAATGAAGAATTCATTTCATTCTGGATTAATGACAGGAAGATAATGAAATTCCCTGAAACTACAGAGTTTTAATTAACAGTCAACTATACAAAAAATTTAGTTACACTAGAGGATGCCCTTGAATTGGGGAATGGCTAAACAAATTATAATATATAAATATGATGAAAAAATGATAACAGACTATTTCAGAGAAATCTGGGAAGATTTATATGAACTAGCCATATATAAAAAAATATTTAGAGCAGCTCTTTTCGTGGTGGGAAAGAAACAGAAACCAAGGAGATGTCCATCAATTGGGGAATGGCTGAACAAGTTGTGACATTGATTGTTTTTTTTTTTTTTTTTTTGCTTAGGCAGTTGGGGTTAAGTGACTTGCCCAGGGTCACATAGCTAGTAAGTGTCAAGTGTTTGGTCTGAGGCTGGATTTGAACTCAGGTCCTCCTGACTTCAGGGCCGGAGCTGTATCCACTGTACCACCTAGCTGCCCCTGTGACATATGATTGTGATGGAATACTATTGTGTTCTAAGAAATGACTAAGGGAATTGTTTCAGAAAAACCTGGGAAGCCTTATATGAGCTGATGTAAAGTGAAGCAAGCAGAACTAGGAGAATATCATATACAGGAATAGCAATATTATAATGTGAATGACTTAGTTACTTTGATAAATACAATGATCCGTGAAAATTCCAAAGGACTTATGACGAAATATGCTACCCACTCTCAGAAAGAAAATTGATGAAATCTGAGTACAAATTGAAGCATATTCTTTCACTTTACTTTTCGGGCTTTTTCTTTCACAACCTGGCTAATGTGGATATATGTTTTGCATGACTTCATAAGTATAATGGGTATTTATTTCTTGACTTCTAATTGGGTGAGAGATGGCCTACAGGGAGGGAGAGAATTCAAAATGAATTTTTTTTTAAAAAGACTTACATAAACTAATGCAGAATATGAACTGATCAGAAGAACCAAGAGAACGATTTATACTATAACATTATAAAAAAGAACAAATATGAAAGACTTAAGAATTATGATCAATATAATGATTCCAGAAGACCAATGTTGAAAAATGCTACTGGCCGAGACAGGTGACAGACAAACGAGACAAAATTTTAGACTTGACCAACATGAGCATTTGTTTTTGCCTACATGTACTGTTATGCACAGTAACAAGGATTTTTCTTTTTTTTTCTCTCAAGTGGGGCGAGAGATAAGAGGGATATAATTAAAATAAAAAATGATAATTAAAAGAAAAAACTGTGGTCAAAACGCGGGGTAAAAGACTGAAATGTGTATGGAAATTAGTAAGAGTTGTATTAAACACATGAATATTTATTATGGATCCCTAAATGGGAATATAGGCAAATACTACCCCCCTCCACTCACTCAACCACGTCTAATAAAAAGATACTTTTGTCACTTTTACCTACTTACAATCTTCCACTGATCCCTGAAGAGAGGAAGACAAAAGTACACGCACAATAAGAATTGTGTTTTATGGTGATCTACTTTAAGATACAGTTTCATGTAATAGATAAGTCTGATTACATGAAATTAAAAAGCTTTTACATAAACAAAGTCAAGACAGCAAGGAAACAGAAAGCTATAGATTGAGGAAAAATCTTTGGATCAAATATCTATGATAAGTGTCTGAGAGCCAAGATAAATTATACAAATTACACAAATATATAAGATCAAGAAATAGTTCACCAATGAGTAACTGGTCAAAAGATATGAACAGTTCTCTCTCTCTCTCTTTTTTTTTTGGTGAGGCAACTGAGGTTAAGTGACTTGCCCAGAGTCACACAGCTAGTAAATATCAATTGTCTGAGGCCTCATTAGAACTCAGAACCTCCTGACTCCAGGGCCAATGCTCTATTCACTGCACCACCTAGCTGCCCCGATATGAAGAGTTATCAAAAGAACAACTGCAAATTATTAATGACCATAATAACCGTTGCTCCAAATTACTAAAAAGAGAAATGCAAATTAAAACTGATATTTAGCTTCACACCAAGCAAACTGGTAAAGATAACAAAAAATTAAAATAGTCAATGTTATAGATTGGCTGTGGAAAGACAGGAATACTAATACACTATTGGTGAAGCTATAAATTGGTCCAACCATTCTGGGAAGCAAATCATACTTATGCTAAAGAGAGTGACTAATAAGTCCAAATTCTTTCTTCCAAAGATCTCACTGCTAAATATTATCTCTCCCCCCACTTTCCCCACCCCAGTGTCAAAGCAAGAAATAAAATATCAACTACAGAATTTTTTGTGGTATTAAGAAGCTGGAAACAAAGTAGGTGCAACTATTTAAGAATAACAAAATAAAACTGAATGCTACACATTTACAAAGACTAAGCTCAGCCTTGGAGAGGAATTAAATGCATCTCCTTTCCCTCACTACTATAGATATTTCCTATACTATCAAACATTTTGCTGTGTTAACTGGCACTGCTAAATGAGTACTTTTTCTTTTTTAATCTGTGTTGCAAGGGAAGAATCTTCAGCTTAGCAGAGTGGGGCAGGTGATGTTATTGGCAGAATTAAGGAAAAAAACCCAAAAAATACTTAAGAAAATGGGGGGGAGATAAATTTGGGGAGAAGACAGGACCATAGAATTAAAGTTGGGAGGGAACCTAGAAACCATCCAGTCCAGTCCCTTCGTTTTATAGCTAAGAAAAATGAATACCAGAGACAATTATTTGTCAAAGGTCACATAGTAACTTACCCAGAGCCAGGTACCCTGACTCTCTCATGTTCTTTCCACTATATCAAGTGATAGTTAGACCCCTTGAAAATAGTTCAAGAGAGGAAAAAGAGAAAGACATTTAGATCTAAGACTCCAATCAAATCAATAAACATTTTAGCTCCAACTATCTATCAGAGTACTGAGCTAGGTACTGGGAAAGAGCTAAAGTCTGATACATATAAACATGAGCAGGAGAAAACTTCTAGAGAAACCAGGTCAAAGGCCAGAGACAGGAAAAAGAAAGACTACAGGTTTCTTGGGAGAAATCAGGAAGACAACAGTCAAAATGATGAAAATAACTATAGACTAAGAATGGTTTAAACCAAGAACTAAACACATGAATCAAAAAAAGATCTTTATTCCTCCAAAAACCAGAAAAGGGGCAAAGGCAGACCAGGAGATAATGGATGAAATAATGTGACCTAGGTTAAAGAACCACACCCAGGATTAGAGCTTTAATATAAACTAATAATAGAGAACACTTAGAAGCAAACTTTTTTTTAGCACTTTAAACTCATGCAAAACTGAGAGGTATAAAGGGTATTTGTGATATACTTCATTGTATACGATTCATATCCCCTGACTCTCTCAATGTAGGTAAAATCTAAAATACCAGGATTTGAAGCAGGAGGGAGGGAGATATCTGGAGAGGCAGTGTCAAAAGATTATATAGAAAGCTACTATTGCATCAAAGGTGGAAAGTTTAGGATCCAGGATATGCATGGTCTTTGACAGAAACAAACCCCCTTTCTTTCTTCTTTCTCCTGAATGATAGTGCGGGAAAGAGTCCAAAATTGACTGCAGTGATAAACCCCACAACAAAAAAAATGATAAGGTCACTGCACTTTAAAAAATATACAGCTGACGAGATAGCACGAGGAACATTTATACTTACAAAGTAACATTTAACTAAAATAAGCAAAATCTCAATAATTCAGATCCTTCTGATATGAAATGTTTCATTGGGACAGGAATAAGAGTGAGTTCTCATTATCCTTAACATTTTTTTTTGCTAGAATTGGAAATTGAGAGGACGCTCATCAATTGGGGAATGGCTGAACAAGCTATGGTATATGAATGTAATGGAATACTATTGTGCTATAAGAAATGATGAACAGGCTGATTTCAGAAAAACCTGAAAAGACTTGTATGGTCTGATGCTGAGTGAAATGAACAAAACCAGGAGAACGTTGTACACAGTAACAGCCACGCTGTGCGATGACTAATATTGACAGACTTAACCCTTCTGAGTAATACAAGGATCTAAGACTCCTCCAAAGGCCTCATGATGGAAAATGTTATCCACATCCAAAGAAAAAACTATGGAGTTTGAATGCACATCGAAGCATATTATTTGCTATTTTTTTCTTCTGTTGTGTTTTGTTTCCTCTTTCTGGTGGTTCCTCCTACTGGTTCTCTTACTTACAACATCACTAATGTGAAAATATATTTAATAGGAATGTATACATATAGTCTATATCAGATTGCATGCTGTCTTGGGGAGGGAGGTGGGGAGAGAGGGGGAGAAAAATTTAAAACTCAAAAGCTTATGGAAGTGATTGTTGATAATTCAAAATAAATTAATAAAAAAAATTTTTTTTTTGCTATTTTTAAAAATTTTGTTGTTTTTGCTACAGCTTCCTAGTGAAAGCTTACATTGAAAAATTCCAAGTTTTGGATGAACTATGCAAAAGAGACCTACTTATACCTAGGCAATGATAGAGAGAAAAATTAGTATATTTCCATTTTCACATAACATTTCTATAAAAATGTATAATAATACAATCTTTTGCCACATTTGGTCAAAAGGAAGGAAAGGAAAAATCATGTAAATCTGGAAGAATGATAACCTCTTCCCCTAAGTTTTATCTCTTCTCAGTGAGGGTATTATGTATGGTTGTACACACACACACACACCCATGCACACCTCCTATGTCCACAAATATGAGCCCATTCTCAAGATTAAGAAGGAAAGATGGCTTGAACAGTCCAAATTCTTTTAATCATTTTCCAATTGTTTCATGTGTGTTATTTTCCTATGTTCTTCAAAGGCAAAGACTAGATTCTACACTTTTTTCCTATTCCCCATCATGCCTAGTACAATGTTATATAGAAAGTCAATAAACGGTTGCTGAAAGAATTTAATTTAATTATTTAATTTAAACGTGATAAAGCAAGAGACTGAGGCCCTCTAACCTTTCATTCTAGGCCCTAAAATACACAAGACTTGTTCTATCTGGAGAACAGTGACTTAAGTATAAACTAAAAATTGGAATGAGAGGAAAACAAATTAGTATATATCAGGTATATTACCTCATAGGCTTCTGCTAACTGTGAGAACTTTTCTTTAGCCTTAGGATCATCCTTATTCGTGTCAGGGTGGTATTTCTTGGCAAGCTAAGAAAACAGTAAAAGATCATCAATATGTAATATCCACTGAAAAAAGAGCTCATGAGGGGAGGGGAAGAAAAGGTGGATTTTTGCTAATAAAAATTAAATTAAAATTCGAAAATATAGTACAATATAAAAATACAATACAAAATGACTTTACTTTCTTCACAAATGTTAGCTTTGGTGACTTAACAGAGGGACGAAACTGCGAAGTAAACGTACTTGGTTCTACTATAGCTTCCTTGAAGCCAGACTTAGATGTCTGATTTTCAACTCTTACATAGCATATAGATGCAGAGAATAGTGGTACACAAAACTAAGCCTATAAGAGACTCTTGTTCATATGTCACTTAATTTTGTGGTTTATAGGACTGGAGGAAGAAATGCAGAAAGCAATTACCACCATCCTGCAGTATTCATCACCACCAGGTAGCATCATTGGAACCAAGTGTGTATTTGGAAAAGATTATCGCTACAGGTAAGAAAGAAATCCAAGGCTGCCATAGCATCAGCAAATTCTGAACAAGTGTTTCCTCTCAAGAGCTTCATACAATTCAAAATGTCTTCAAATGACATCTTAAAAAATAAGTCATAAGTTGCTGAGCCCTTATCAAGAACAGTAGTTCTGGTCAGCCATGAGTTAAGAAAATATCCTTTACTAAAACCTGAGTTTTCTTGTTTGTTCTGAGGTAATAAGCATTAGACACTGAAGAACGAAGATGCTAATCTCATCAGATGCTACAAATTCTGCTTTATACCACTTTATTTGCTATATATACATCTTACTGGTCAAAGCAGGAAAAATAAGAATAAGATCATCTCTTCTACAATCTCATCTTTCAAAAATGATCTACCTCTGGTTGCCATACAGACCTGGTAATAGGCTTTCTTGATCTCTTTCTGGCTGGCAGTTCGGGGTACTCCTAAGATCTGGTAATAATCATCTTTGGCTGAGGAAGGGGAACTCGTGTGAAATGAAGCAGTACAAATTAAAGGGTAAAACTTTATTCCTAAAAGAAAAAAAAATCAGAATATGACATGAACGTAAGCAACCAAGTTTTGGATGAACTATGCAAAACAGACCTATTCATACCTAGGTCGTGTCAGAGAGAAAATTTAATTTCCCTTTTCATATAACAGCATTTCTATGAAAATGTATAACAACACAAATCTTTTGCCACATATGGCCAAGAGAAGGAAGGAAAAGATAAAACACATAAATATAGGAGAATAATAACCTTTTCCCCCAAGTTCTACTTCCTTCTCAATGAGAGTATTATGTGTGGTTGTATACATACACACACACACACACACACACACACACACACACACACACACACAAGCCCTATGTCCACAAATATAAGCCCCTTCTGAGGACTAAGAAAAGAAGGAAAGAAGACGGTTTGAAATACCTAATAATCCAATTTTCTTAGAATCATTCTCTAATTATTTCACGTATGTTACTACAATAATAAAGCTTCTTCCATACAGCTACCCAAAATAATTTTCCTAAGGCAAAACTCTACTTATGTCACTTCCCTACTCTAAAATTTTGCGGCTCCCCATATCTCTAAGATAAAATACAAACTCCTCAGTCAGCCTTGCATTTAAAATCTTCCATGTTGTGGCTTTGAATATCAGACTATGACATGAATGCAAGCAACTGAGTCAAGCTGCTGACAGAATTCACTATTGAAAAAGATTATATCTTTAGAATCCAGTGAACTTCAGGGATTGCACAAAGGCATTATGTTGAGCCAAATCTTTGTGAAGGTGTCTTAATATTTTTAAAAATTTCTTTCATTCAAAATGTACATTCAAACAACTGCAATATTTTATAAAACAATAATGTTAAAGTAGAAACATTGTTTGATTACATTAGTTTACATGGTACCCTGTGTCCTAGAGTAGCTGTTAAGTGGTCCAAAGATGTAAGTCCCCCAGCATCATCCACAAGAATGTTTTAGTCTCTGCTTTTCCCAAAAGTGAAAAAATCAAAAGATATAAATGCACACAACAGAGGTGACTAAATTTCCAGATTTTCTTTCATGACTATTGCATCAGATAGTTCTGAGGGGAAAGGCAAACAAAATCAACTAGTCTACTTAGTAAGAAAATAGAAAGCACAGAATGGATTAAACAACCTATAGCAAAACCAGATTATTTTGTTGACTGGGAGCTCTCTGACCTTGTACTGTAACTTCCAACTTTGACTGGGTGACAGATAATAAAGTCAAGGAAATGTAATGGGAACATTTAACAAAAGAGAAAAGTCTAACAGCAAGACAACCCTCATCAAAATAAATGATTGGTTACTGAGGAGGCTGAAGAGGAGGAAATCAGATAAAGTAGGGGAATTTCAACTGAAAACATCAGAACGAATGTAAAAGAAATACGGTGTAAAATTCATCCTTTTGGAATCAGTATTTCTTCTCTTTTGCTTGTACTTTTTTATATCAAAAAAAGTAGGTCATGTGGGAGTAATGAGAATTTCCATTTGATAGGAGAACAAAAGTCTAATTCTGACTCTAGGATACACTGGTACGGATATAAAACTTCCTAGTTTCTTTCTATTGCCTTCTTTTCCAAACCCAGCTCCCCTTATTAAACCTAAAAGGCTGAGGACAGCCAGTGGCTTTGGCAACAGTAACCTTAGAAATCTGATCAGTAGTGGGCACAAAGGAAATTGTACTTAATTTAAAATTAGATGGTTCTCATCCCCACCCCCTCATCCTCCAAATAAAAAGTTTAAGTTTTTCTAATCTAAGTGTGTGTACCCTTCTAATAAATGGAAAACTGACTTGTATGCTTGACAATAATTAGAAAGTGAAGTTTACTTAATAAACAAGTAATTGGTTTTTCCCTCCTAAGTATAATTATGAAAATTTAGAACCAACAACAAAAAACAGTACAAGCTAGACAGGCCAGCTCCAAGGAAGAATTTGGCACTGCCAGGCAACTGTACTTTTTTTCAGCACTGGGGATTTGAATCCCTGTTAGTAACAAATACCTTGGGCCATAAAGTTATATGGTAATCTCTTTTGCTCTTGGTCTAGAATTGCAATGAAAGATAGTCTGGTTCAATCAAATAATATTCATGAGTACATACAAACCAAAATTATGATCCCTAAATATTGATAACTTAAAGCTTCTTTAATACAGCTGCAAAAATAATTTTCTTAAGGCAATGTTCTACTTAAGTCACTTCCCTACTCTAAAATTCTGTGGTTCCTTATATCCTCCAAAACAAAATAAAAACTCACTTAGCCTGGCATTTAAAATCCTCCATGCTCCGGCTCCAAACTACTTTTCTAGACTTATTTCACATTTCTTCCTTTGCTTCACTCTACATTACAGCCAAATTGTACTTCTAGCCATTTCCTGAACTCAGTATTCCATCACCTTATTCCATGCCTTCCTCACATGGATGGTATCTCATGACTGGCATGCACTATCTCCTCACTTCCAACACTCAGACTCTATCTTCCTTCAGATTCTCCTCAGGTTCTTATGAATACACCTCTCTCCTCAAGAAATCTTGTACTTATTTTTCGGTGTACAGGTTGTATCTCCGCAGTAAACCAGTAAAGGGAAGATTCTCAAGGGCAGGAAATAACTGGTGAATTGAACAGAGGGAAGTGTTTTATCCATATGCAAGTGGGAAGAGCTGGTTTTAAATTTTTGCTTTTCCTCCTTTAAAAATTATATAATTATGTCACTGGCTTTAGTTGTGATTTCTAACATCAGATCACTGTTGATTACAAACTTCCTCTTGGACCATAATCAACCTGACTCAAAACACTGGGGCCACATAGGTCAGCAAATTATGGCCTGCCATGTGGGAGCTAAGAATGGTTATTGTACTTAAAAATGTAAAAATCATTCTTAGCTCTCTCAGGCTGTATAAAAATAGACAGCAGGCTGAATTTGGCTTTCAGGACTTACTTAATCTGCTGACCCCTGAATCAGACAAGATTAATTCACCCAGATTCCTAAAAAACAGTCTACCATGAGACTCAGTTCATGAACCATTTTGTCTCTATATTAGAAAGCTGTACCAAAAAATGTGCATGACCTTGGCCTAAAAAAACACACAACACTTCAATGAAGTTCTGACTTCTTCAATGTTTATCTTGCAACAGTGCAAATCACAACCCTTCTGTTTTCAACTCTTGTGCAATTTTTGTCCATTAATATACTCCATAAGAGGATTCCTTGGAACATCTTCTCTACATCTTAACTTGACAAAGGTATCAGGGCAACACCTGAGCCATTCATTCACTATCTTTTTCTACAAGACCAGATCACTTTCTTTTCTCAAACATCTCCTGCAGAGCATTTACGCCACTTCTTAGACAAAGTAATCATCGTTCTATCACAGTTAACCAGCAGGCATTGTTCATCTACTTGCTTTTTCCTGAGTGGAATGTGGTTGGAGGTTTCATCGAAGAGGTTCTATAGTATTTTGAGACTTGATGAAATCAGTACAATGTCAAATCCAACTAGACTGGGGGTTAACCTGGGGTCCATACACTCCTTGGAGAGCCAGGAATAGAATTCAGGGGATCCTTTCACTTGTATGGGGAAAAAAATGCATTTTCATTTTCACTAACCTCCAACTGAAATTTACTATTTCCTTCAATTGTGAATGTAGGAAACAAAACATTCTGAGAAAAGGTCCACAGGATTCACAGAACAGCCAAAGGAGTCTATGACACAGAAAAGGGTTAAGAACCCTTGACCCAGGCACATCTAAAGAACTTCACTACCTAGGGAGGAACACAGCTTCCATTTGGACTCTGCATGGGATGGTCTTCTGGTCAGAAGCAAATAGCTTTGTCAAACAAACTTTGCTACCCAATTTATGTTCCACTTGATCATCAGAGGACACAAGTAATTTCTGTTGTATTAATTAGTAATCTCATTAGAGAAAAGCCTTTAAAGTGTATTTTGCTCTCTGAATCACTTTTTATAATTTTGAAAAAGTCATGTTTTATATTAATATTAAATGTTAAATAAAACCTGAAAATGACCATTTTTCTTTTTACTGGTTAAGCACACAACCTTCCCAATGTTCTTTTAAGAATAAAAACTGGATAACATATGTCATAGCTATGTGAAAGTGGAAGAAATTGTTAGCCCTAAGAAACAATTAAATCTGAAGGAAACCAGAAGTAGAAGCTAAGGAAGGTCGGCCTTAGTGCTACATACATCATCACTGAATGACTGGGAGAGAGGTTTAGCAGGAGATCAGGAAAACAAATAGAGAAGAGGAACCCTCAGAAAAACTGGCTAAGTTTTATATAGTACTTTTAACAAATGGTATACAGTTGAAACATCACATTGTGAAACTATATCTTTTGTAACTCAGTCTCTTAGTGCTATTCAATTTTATGTATGGTACTTTACTGGGTTTGTCCCCAAATACAAGGTGTATAAGAATGAGAGGAGCAGGGGAAAGTATGGATTTGATATTTCATTGGTAGAAGAAAATCCCAATCCCTCTACCGATGCAGGTTGGCATCTCTTCTGCAATGTATTGTCTTAGAGTTAACAAGGGCACTGAGAGATCAAGTGCCTCGTCCAAGATCATCACTGCCAGTATGTGCCAGGAAGTGGGACAGAAACCCAAGTCTTTCTGTCTTGGAGGCCAATTTTTCCTACTATACCTTGTTGCCTTTAAGTAACTCAATGTCTTTTAATATAATTAGGATTGTTTAAGGGAGGCAGAATGATGAAACAGAGATCTGGATTAGTAGTCAGAGGACCTGAGTTCAAATCCCACCCAAGGTCACGTCTGTGTGACATTGAAAGTTACTTACGTTCTCTGAGCTTCAGTTTCCTTATCTCTACAAAAGGCCTCTGAGGTCCCTTCCAACTCTAAAGATATGATCCTAAGTCACCTAATCTCTCTAGTTCTCAGATTCCTCATCTATAAAATAAGGTACCAGAAGACCTCTAAGGTCCTTTCCAACTTTGCATCGGTGATATTGTGGGCGTGATACTGTCATAACACCATTTATTCAAGTTCTGTATATAACTTCCATATCCAAGAGCTCACTACTAGGAAATGAATACAGTTAATACTAAAAAAAAAATTATCATTTGTTAACTCTTCTGAACCCATATCCAAATGATGTGACTTTAACTCTGGAAAAAAAGAATATGGGTCTCAAAAAGTCATTAAATATAAGTCATTTATTGAGCACACACTATAAACATAAGGTACTGTACAAAGTGATATCAGTTTGTGATTATTTTATGAGGACATGCCTTGCTTAGGCCTGGCCTTTAAGGTTATGTTTATACCTCTAAGATCATCCATCCTTTTCTTGCATTTGTACTTGCTATTGTGCATAGTTTAAATGGACTCCCTCTACATTTCCACTTGCCAAAAATCTTGACAGGTCCCCGAAGAGATGTAGTGAGGCCTCCTTCACAAAGCCTTCCATAATCCCCAAAGCAATACATTTTTCCCCATGAGAGCAATACCTCATGCCTCTTGGCTCACAGCTAGGTCTGGAGTCTGGAAGAAAAATTCAAATCAAGCCTCAGACTAGCTGTGCTACATTGGGCAAATCACTTCACCTGTTTGCCTCAGTTTTCTCAACTGTAAAATAAGATATTTGTAAAGTGCTTAACATAGTGTCTGGCACAAAGTAAGCACTATATAAATCTAGCTATTTTATTATTGTTATTTGTGTCATGATTTTGGGGGCTCATATCTTAGCCTCCCCATTAGATTGTAAACTTGCTAATAGCCAAGAGTTCTGCTGCTTCACCTCAGTATACCTAGTACAGAGCAGAATGCTTTATGTATAGTCAGACAGCCTGAGTTAGGAGTGACACTGCCACTTACTAGCCTTGTGACTAAGGGCAATAACTGAAAGCTATGCAGTGCAAAAAAAGTGACAAGGCACTTTTATATACATTATTTCGTTTCCCCCACCTATGAAACAGGGATAATTACACTTCACAAAGTTATTCCAAGAGAAGCACCTTATAAAAAGCACCCTTATAAAAGGGGAATCACCATATAAATATGTGAGGTATGCTCATGACAGCAAAAATCAAGCATCTTTGACAATTTTACAACACTGAACGATCCAGTACTTAACAGCAAAAAGAACACCAAGTTCTTAAGTGTTCCAAATGCGTGTCTGTGTATTTTTATAAATCCCTTCGACTCTAAATCTATGATCCAAATCGCGCTGGCACAAAACACTCTAAGTGCACGAGGTAGGGGCAGACACGGTGCTTGGGCTAACGTCATAATCACAACAGTTCACATATATATGGAGTGTTAAGGTTCGTAATGAGCTTCACACACGTTATCTCATTTGATCTACTCATTATCCCGTTATCCTCAGCGACTGCTTCCCGGAGGAAGTGGTGCCTGGGTCGGCCGCTTTTGACCAGACTCCAGTTTGCCTCCTCCAGCTCCACGCAGCTAGTCCCCGGGGGAGACGTCAGCGCGACCCCCGAGGGAAAGGTCACCGGCTCCAGAGGAGGGCCCAGAGGGCCTGCGGCGCACCCAGGCTGCTCCGGGGGCAGCCCTCGCTCGCTCCAACCGCTTCGAGATCCCTGTCACATGCTGACAGTCTGTGCCGCCTCCCTGGCTCATTCAGGCGGGTCCGGACCGCGCTTCCCCTCCCCCAGCTAGCTCCCCCGGGCATGGCCCCCGTCCCACCTGCCCGACCTTCCCCTACCGGGGGAGGGCGACTTCGCCCTCGGCCGCTCCCTCGCCCTCCAGACCCGGCGCCGAAGCCTCCCCTCACCTGAGAGGCTGACGCTGGGTCTCAATGTCAGGAGTCTCCCTGGGGCGCAGACTCCCAAACGAGGCGAGATGGCTGCATGGCTTAGCCTACGGCCCAGAGAAACCACTACGGTGTCCTCCCAGGGTGCCCGAACCCCCTTCCCCGCAGCAGCCGGCAGCCGGGGGTTCCCCACAGCCAGCGACAACCAGCGTGAGGAGCACCTCGCCGCCATCTTGGCTTGGGGACACGGCGCCTGCGCGAGCCGTCCTTAAAACGACTCGCCGGGAAAAGGGGGAGGAGTGTGCGCGTGCGCACGCGCAATTCCAGGAACGCAACTGTTCCCTTTCCCGCGAGAAAGACTAGAGCGCGCATTTAGGAACAGTTTCAATTGCGCACGCACAACTCATTCCCTAACGGAGTGGTCAAGACTGAGACATAGAGTTGCATGGAAAGCTAGTGGGTAAGCTGTAAGATGTCCATGATCAGGGATTTTGTAGTAGAAAGGCGAGGGCAACGCGTAACCTGTGTCAAAATGAAGCTGACTGCGCCGCTACTAGCGGTGGAACTACACCTCCCAGCGTGCCTTACGGCGAACTCGCAGAACGGATCCCAGGGTGCAATGCGCCCTATCGCTCAGTGTGACCCTGAGAGACGGTCACGATCTTCGCCCCAACACTCGGCTGTCATGCTCCGGAGTTTTCAGGAGCTGCCCCCCCTTCCCCCAGGCCGGCCAGCCCCACGTACCCCGCTATCACACTCATTTCCACAAGCAGACTTGAGTCGCCAGCGGGCAGACCTCCTGGGCTCCGGCGTTCGTGTCCCGTCAGTGGGTTTGGGGACGTAGGGCACCAGAATTGGAAAACCGGAGGCCTGGGCTCGAGGCCTGGAGCTGCTCGTGGGCTGTGCCCTGTGGTCTTGGGCACGTCGCCTCTCCGCTTGAGCTTCTCTCCACATATATGAAACTTCCGATGTCACACAGTTCCGGTGATAGAAACAAATCTGTAAATAGCAAAATTCTGTAGACGTGAGAGGCTATTCTGGGACAGGGTGGAACCAGTGGCCTTGAGGTGGGTGGGGACCTTTGACAGAATCCAAACTTCACAGAACAAATGCCCTTAACAAAAGGATTTGTTCTGTAAAACTTGGCCCAGATTGAGGGCCTAGAGGGCCACGTGTGGCCTTGAGGCTGCAGGTTTCTCCACTTTTGTTCTCCTTATCTCCACTGCTTGGTTGCTTATTAAACCACAGATAATTCAGCAAATGTATTAAATTAAATATACTTAAATTATCTTTTTTTCCCCCTGAGGCAATCAGGGTTAAGTGACTTGCCCAGGGTCACACTACTAGTGTCAAGTGTCTAAGGTCAAATTTGAACTCAGGTGTTCCTCACTCCAAGGCCAGAGCTCTATCCACTGCGCCACCTAGCTGCCCCGAAATGTAGTGTATCTTAACTGTTCATCGAAAGATACTTAGATTTTGGGAACACAATAGAGATACTTAAAAACTAGGGGTTGTGATACAGATTTAAAAGTCCATTGGAGATAAACAATGGGCTAAAAAATTAAGTTAATGGGGTTAGCTATTTACCACATTTACTAAGCATTGTGATGCAGAAAGAAAAGTGATTCTCCCCTTGCCCTCCAGGAGCTTACATTCTTTTAGGGAAAACAACATGTACACAAAATAATGTAAGAAGGAGTTTGAACACTAGCAGATGGACTCAGAAGGGAATCTCTTCTAGCTAGGGGAATTAAGAAAAGTGTCATAAAAGAAATTGGAGATCTTGTTGGATGTCAAATGGTCAGAGATGATGAAATGAAGGAGCCTGTCCAAGCATGTGAGATGGCAGGTTTAAGTCCATGGAAGGTGAGAGAGGACAAGAAAAAAGTATCATTTGTTACTTGATAATAGCTTAGAGTCCATAAAGTTCTTCAAGCTAGAAAAGTAGAGTGGGGCAAGTTGGGAAAGGTATTCAGTGTCATGCTAAAGAGTGTACACAGAAGTCAAGTAAAATTAACCTTACTGTCATCCTCAATCAGTAACTTGTACTAATATTACAGAATAAATGTTACATAGACCTGTGTAAGCCATAATTCATATGTTATGGGACTGCCTCATATTTCAGTGCCTAGTAATATTTTCAGTAAGGATAAAATGTAAAATGGGCCCAAATTCACAGGGAATAACTGTAGTTGACACTATACTGTAGTCCTCTTCACTCTAGTCAAGGATATATATATCTTGTATTTTTCCATTTGTTACCACTTTTCTAATCTCATTTTTCTACTGTCCTTCACCTGTGGTTGCAGGAGCTCCTAACCAGTCTCCTTGTCTCCAGTCTGCTATAAATCATAGAAGCAGAAGGTATCTTAAAGGTCATCTAATCTAACCACGTGTTACACATGAAGAAGCTGAGGCCCAGAGAGGCTAAGTGACTTGCCCAGTGTCACAAAGCAGTAAATGACAAAGGCAAAATGTGGGTCGTGGTCCACTGATTCCAGATCCAAAGCTCTTTCCCATCATATCAATTTGATTCCCCCCCTCCATCTATCCCATTCATATATCCATAATAATCTTCCTTTTGCGTAGATCTCTGTCTCTAAAAAACCCTTCATCGGCTTCCTATTGTCTCTTGACAAACTCCTTAGCCTGGCATTCAAGGCACTCCACATTCTCCTTCTATCCTACTTTTTAAACTTTATATCTCCCACTACTCCTCATATATATATGTTTGGCTTAAGCCAAACTTGTACCACATATTCCCCCATAACCATCTTCTGTTTCCCCACCTCTGTATCTGTGTTCCTCATACAATTTTCTAAACCTGAAATTCTTTACCTTTTACCTCCACCTTCTGAATTCCTAATATTCCTTCAAACAGCATGTTGTAATGCAGAGAACACTGATTTTGAACTCAGGAACTCTCCTTCAAATCCTGATTCTGCTACTTTCAACTCTAAGACTTTGAGCTAGTTATTTTATCTTCTGGGTCTAGGTCCTCACCTATAAATGGACACTTCTGTCAAAGGCACTACCATCTTCCCAATCACCTGTTGGTAAATTTAGTTATCCTTGATTCTCCCTCACCCCCAACACCTACCTTTACAACTTCTCTCACATCTGTCCTCTTCTTTCCACATATATTTGATGAGCCTTCTCATTTGTATCTCCTAATTTATCTTTTTTCTTCCAGTTTTCCTTCTCTCCAATTTATCCACCACATAGCTACCAAATTTATCATCCTAAGATATAGGTCTGATCATATCACTACCCAACATCTTACTGACCAGGATAAAATGTAACTGCCTGGGGTTAGGTCTTTCACAGTCTGGCTCCAATCTACCTTTCTGTCTTATTTCACATTATTCCCCTTCAAACACATTTATGTTCTAGCCGAACTGCATTATTTGGTTGCTTGCTATTCTCTGAACCTGACATTTTCATCTCCAGCCTCCACACATTTGCACAAGCTGCCCCACTTACCAGGAATGGCCCCTCTCATCTCTATCTCTCAGAATCTGTCTCCTTCCAAGACAGCTTAGGTGCTAGCTATGTCCTTTGTGAAGCCACCTTTGACCTCCACCCTCCCACCCAGGTTCTCTGACTCCAGCTCCTGTGCTCTTTTATATTGTACTATACTGCCCCCATCCTTCCTCCCTTAATCAGAGTATATTAAGTACCATTTTTCAATTGTCTTTGGGTCTGACTGGTTTTATCCAGTCACACCCATAGGAATGAATGTGAAGATGGGTCCCCATGGAAAATGTCTGGGCTTCCTGTGGCATAGACACAACTCTCTTTACTGATCTTCAAATCTGATATACCTGCTCTGATTCCAAAATAGCTGCATTCTGATAGGGGAAAACTGACATGATGGTCAAAAGCTCATTTCTGTATGTGTCTGTGTGTTTATACACAGTATGGGTCTGTCCTGACTCAACTTTCCTGGACCTGTTACAAACTCCATCTCTGAGGACCCTCAGAAGCTTCTGTTCCAAGCCTGACAAATTTATAGAAGCCATGCGCATGTGTATTATAAATGTGTATGCACATATGTGTAAGTGGGAGGTGGGGAGCATCACCTGACCTTGCAGAAAGACAGAGGGTAAACCAGACTCTGCTCTTCATTTGAATCTATTTTGGTTTCTTCTCTTGGCTCTCTGACCTGCTTTCTGTTTTGCAGTGAATCTCAGCACAGCCTCCGGTCTCCAAGATTCTGTCTGCCTAAACTCCCTCCTGCCTAACCTCTTTCCCAAACCCAGTGGAATCCAGAGACATTGACCCCTTGCAATGCCAGCCTCTCATTCTCTGCCATTGGCACAAGAAGCCCCAGTCTAAAGCTGCTAGAGGGATAGGTTTTGATGGGAGACTTCTGTGTGCTTCTAAGATAATGTAAGTAGATTAGACACCTGGGACTTTTGTTCTCATCACCTCCTCTCTGGATCTTTAAGTGGGTATGGTGCATTATTTTAAATGCTACAGAAATCTAGCTGAATTAGCAAAGATGACAAATGATGGAAATAGCCACCATTGAACAGGATATGATAAGACATATACAAAATTCAGCTAGATCCCTATTAATATGAATAATGAATGAATATTGTGAAGTAGTTGGATTATTCGGATTCTAACTTTACATTTCAATTGGGCTGGAACCAATGAACATATTTTACACAATTTTAACTTTGAATAGTGCAAATTTAAATATATTCAACCACTTTATAGGATTCATCATTTGAACTCATCAGGACTTAGCTGTACATTGTGGAGTTGGTCTAACCATTTTGGAAAGTAATTTGGAATTATGTTAAAGAAGCAGTCAAGATGTCCCCACCCTTCTGTCCCAAGATATCATTGTTAAGCATATACCTCAAGGAAGTCAAAGATAGAAAGGTCCAATAGATGACAAAATAGTCACTGTCAAACTTTTTGTGGTAGTAAAGAACTGGAAACAAAGTAAGTGGCGGTTGGCTGAAAAGCTTTGGGTACATGAATAAGAAAAAATATAAGAAAAAATGAGCATGAAAAGTTCGTGGAAACATGAAAGTTCTATATGAAGAAATGTCTACAAAAATGTAAATGAAAAGAACAAAGAAAGGAAACTCAATATCGTGTAATTAATGACATGCTCGACTGCAGAGAAGAGCAGAGAAAATGTATTTCCCTTCCTTTACTGACTATGGATGCAAAATATTGCATACACTGTCAGGTAGGGTTGATATGTTGGATAGTTTTGC